AGGAATCCTAATAGTAATCTCGAATCAAACGTGAGTAACGATGAGCACAATTACATTATAACGACGAGACACGTTAAATGCTCGCATTGGTCATGGATTGAATATTTCACACAACAGAAATCTCGTTATACGTTTTTTTAATCGCGAAGAATGTTGCGCGGTAATTTCCGATTCCAATTTTGAACCACCTCCCTCTTAAGAATCCTGGCTGCGCTCCTGCTTATAAATAATGTCATTTTTTAATTCAGCCTCTTTGCCATATTGTTGTCAGATTTTATCAAAGGTGTTATTGCTTCTTTAAACAGTTACAAAATTAGTCAGTATTTTGAAAAGTAATCGAATAGCTCGCGGAGCCCCTGGGTTCCTCTCGCGGAGCCCTGAGGCTCCGTACGGAGCACTTTGAGAACCTATGGCCTAGAGCAGGGGTTCTCAAACTTTTGGTGTTGCGGAGCCCTTGAAAAGTTGAATATTATTCGCGGAGCCCCAAAATAAATTTTAAAATTGTTACTTTCAGATTATTATTCCCGAGCAAGTTAAAAGTACTTTATTTATTTTAAATGCTGAACCTTTTTTAATAGGGTTAACACAAGTCATAAATAAATCTAAATTTTATACTAAAGCTGTAAATTTGACACTTGACGAACATATTAATAAATTAAGGATCGAATCTTTTCTTTTTTGACATTTTTGGAAGACTTAATTAAAAGGCCGTTAGTAACGTGCGCTATTTCATTTTGTTACAATCGCCGATTTTTTCCGTCAGCATGGCGTGTTTTAAACATCTTTACGCCGCTGTTTATTCTCCCTAAATCAAAAATTTCCCTCGGCATATACATGTATTGTTACACAATGACGACGTTAATTGCTTTTCTGTTCTCGTGGGGAATTATGAGTTCAATGTGAAAAACATGTTACCATATCGTCACGCTAATAACCGAATTGCGTAAGTCATTTTTAGCAATTTTGAGAAAAACGTAAAAAACTTCCTGATGATATTGTTATGCCATTGAGAATCAATACTTTGCCATGGTTCAATTTTATGATCGTAGCCGGATTTAAGTTAATTTGTATGACGCAGTTAAGTGACGTCATAATGGCGCACTGTGACTTAGGCAGAAATGTGTCTATGACTTTGGGACATACGCAATTTTGCAACTTTACTATATGCACCAGTCCTGAAAACAAAACATTTCAAAAACGAATGTAATTCTCAGTATCTACAATGTCTAATCCCCAAAAAAGCTAATCAGTTTCAATTACATTGTTTTTTATGTTTAAAAATATATATTTCATCAATATAACACGTTCTGCACACCCATCGAAATAAGGTTAAGATTAAATATAAAGAATAAAACAGCAATGCACTCAATATAAAAGCCAACCGGGTGAATTGTACTCGGACAGTTAATATCACGAGTGCACGCCTTCCTATACTGTAGTATAAATTCAGCGGAAAGGTGTGCTGCTGGGCTTTGAAAATTGACTAAATAAGCTTATTTCGCTATATGTAATTTTTACAAAGAGGGCCATTTTCGCTATGAGAATACCCCAGATTCTAAAATGAAAAAGACTTAGGTTCTAGTTGTGTGGCAAACTTCAGGTAAACCTCTTTAACATGAAATAATCAAATCGAATGCCTCTTGTGCGGAAGGGTGTGCTGCTAGGCTTATAAAATTGACTAAATTAGCTTTTTTCGCTATACGTAATTTTTCAAAATAAGGCCATTTTCGCCATAAGAATAACGTAGATTCTAAAATAAAAAAGGCTTAGGTTTTATTTGTGTGGCAAACTTCAGGTAAACCTTTTTAACATGAAATAATCAAATCGAATGCCTCTTGTGCGGAAGGGTGTGCTGCTAGGCTTTGAAAATTGACTAAATTAGCTTTTTTCGCTATACGTAATTTTTCAAAATAAGGCCATTTTCGCCATAAGAATAACGTAGATTCTAAAATAAAAAAGCTTAGGTTTTATTTGTGTGGCAAACTTCAGGTAAACCTTTTTAACATGAAATAATCAAATCGAATGCCTCTTGTGCGGAAGGGTATGCTGCTAGGCTTTGAAAATTGACTAAATAAGCTTATTTCGCTATATGTTATTTTTCCAAATAAGGTCATTTTCGCTATGAGAATACCCCAGATTCTAAAATGAAAAAGGCTTAGCTTCTAGTTGTGTGGCAAACTTCAGGTAAACCTTTTTAACATGAAATAATCAAATCGAATGCCTCTTGTGCGGAAGGGTGTGCTGCTAGGCTTTGAAAATTGACTAAATTAGCTTTTTTCGCTATACGTAATTTTTCAAAATAAGGCCATTTTCGCCGTAAGAATAACGTAGATTCTGAAACAAAAAAGGCTTAGGTTCTAGTTGTGTGGAACACTTCAGGTAATCTTCTTTAATGGGAAATAATCAAATCAAATGCCTCTTGTGCTGAAGGGTGTGCTGCTAGGCTTTCAAAATTGACTAAATTACCTTTTTTCGCTATGCGTAATTTTTCTAATTAGGGCCATTTTCGCCATGAGAAAAACGTAGATTCTAAAATAAAAAAGGCTTAGCTTCTAGTTGTGTGGCAAACTTCAGGTAAACCTCTTTAACATGAAATAATCAAATCGAATGCCTCTTGTGCGGAAGGGTGTGCTGCTAGGCTTTGAAAATTGACTAAATTAGCTTTTTTCGCTATACGTAATTTTTCAAAATAAGGCCATTTTCGCCATAAGAATAACGTAGATTCTAAAATAAAAAAAGCTTAGGTTTTATTTGTGTGGCAAACTTCAGGTAAACTTTTTTAACATGAAATAATCAAATCGAATGCCTCTTGTGCGGAAGGGTGTGCTGCTAGGCTTTCAAAATTGACTAAATTAGCTTTTTTCGCTATGCGTAATTTTTTCAATTAGGGCCATTTTTGCCATGAGAAAAACGTAGATTCTAAAATAAAAAAGGCTTAGCTTCTAGTTGTGTGGCAAACTTCAGGTAAACCTCTTTAACATGAAATAATCAAATCGAATGCCTCTTGTGCGGAAGGGTGTGCTGCTAGGCTTTGAAAATTGACTAAATTAGTTTTTTTCGCTATACGTAATTTTTCAAAATAAGGCCATTTTCGCCATAAGAATAACGTAGATTCTAAAATAAAAAAGGCTTAGCTTCTAGTTGTGTGGCAAACTTCAGGTAATCTTCTTTAACATGAAATAATCAAATCGAATGCCTCTTGTGCGGAAGGGTGTGCTGCTAGGCTTTCAAAATTGACTAAATTAGCTTTTTTCGCTATGCGTAATTTTTCTAATTAGGGCAATTTTCGCCATGAGAAAAACGTAGATTCTATAATAAAAAAGGCTTAGGTTCTAGTTGTGTGGAAAACTTCAGGTAAACCTCTTTAACATGAAATAATCAAATCGAATGCCTCTTGTGCGGAAGGGTGTGCTGCTAGGCTTTGAAAATTGACTAAATAAGCTCATTTCGCTATATGTTTTTTTCCAAATAAGGCCATTTTCGCTATGAGAATACCCCAGATTCTAAAATAAAAAAGGCTTAGCTTCTAGTTGTGTGGCAAACTTCAGGTAAACCTCTTTAACATGAAATAATCAAATCGAATGCCTCTTGTGCGGAAGGATGTGCTGATAGGCTTTGAAAATTGACTAAATTAGCTTTTTTCGCTATACGTAATTTTTCAAAATAAGGCCATTTTCGCCATAAGAATAACGTAGATTCTAAAATAAAAAAGGCTTAGGTTCTAGTTGTGTGAAAAACTTCAGATAAACCTCTTTAACGTGAAATAATCAAATCGAATGCCTCTTGTGCGGAAGAGTGTGCTGCTAGGCTTTGAAAATGGACTACATTAGCTTTTTTCGCTATACCTAATTTTTCCAAATAAGGCCATTTTCGCTATGAGAATACCCCAGATTCTAAAATAAAAAAGGCTTAGGTTCTAGTTGTGTGAAAAACTTCTGGTAATCTTATTTAATGGGAAATAATCAAACCGAATGCCTCTTGTGGGGAAGGGTGTGCAGCTGGGCTTTGAAAATTGACTAAATTATCTTTTGTCGATATACGTATTTTTTTCAAACAAGGCCATATTCGCTATGAGATTACCCTTGATTTTAAAATGAAAAAGGCTTAGGTTCTAGTTGAGTGGAAAACTTCAGGTAAACCTCTTTAATAACAAATAATGAAATCGAATGCCTCTCCCGCGGAAGGGATTTTTGCTTGGATTTGAAATTATCTGGCTTATTTGCTTTTTCGAAGGAAGTTAAATAAAATTCGTTTCCCCTTTTTCTTGTTTTTTCATTCCTTTTCAAGCTTTTATTATTTATTTTTTGCTATATAATTGTTATTTTTCCTAAATTACAAACATATTTCCCATAATAGTATGCTAATTTCGTTTATCTTCATTTTTCGGGTGTAGATTTTGACACGCCTCCATTTCTGCCATAAATATTAACCTTTCCGCTTCGCCGCACACAAAGGTCAAATTGCTACTAGCTTCACAGTGGTACCGAATCAACTGAGATAAATAACATGTGAGTGTTGGCGTATTTGTCTGCGAATATAGGATTTGCGAGGATGTGTACCGGTATAGGTATAAGTATATGGTCCTGTGGCAAACGACGTTTGAATCTGACACAGGGACCGCCGGACCGGTAGGATAAAATCCTTCAAAATATTTTTGTTGATGTCCGAGAAGGCATAATAATGTTACCAATAGCTACAATATATAGATATAGGGTACCGGTATAGTCTAGTATTCAAAAAAGTTGAGTTAAATGGTCTACAAGTCCGGATTTTATAAATCCTGAAATCAGTTTATACCGGTATTTATTTGTTTTTATCAATCATTTTATTGCAAGTGTATGATGATATCACAAAGCTTTTCGCTGTTTCGTGTATACTGTAACCAAACTTCTGGATCGTAAGCCAATATATTGGAATACCTTCATAGGCCTAGACTATCCTGCAGAAATTTAGCCTCACACTAGAATGATAATACTCCAATACTTCCTACCACGTTACTGAGAAGTTTTCGTATAAGATTTTGCATAACTTTTCAGTTTTATTAGATGAGTTGTAGAGTTTAGGAAATTAAATACAGCAATAGTTGAAGTTCAAACTCAATCATGGATGAACACTTTTTTTTCACAAAGTTGAAATCAAACTTTGAGCAATTCGTATCCTCACCTTTGCCATTTTTGGAAGGATGTACAGAAGTGTCAGACGATTTTAAATTATTATCAAAGACGATTTATGATTCTAATAAATCATCAGCAATTTCATCACGATCAGGTCCAATACCAAAACTTATCATTGAAGGTTTTGATCATGAGCAGATTTGGCAAGAAATTGAACTTTTCAATAAGAAGGAAGCTGCAACTTGTCTTAAAGCAGCCGAATATTTTAATTCTCAGGACATTTCCCAGTTCATGTTAAAGAAACATGAAAGTGATGATGAAACGGGTGATGAAGATGATGATTTGTCAGAATTAGAACCTGTTGAAGGAGAAGCGGAACCAGAAGGTGATTGGTTCATTATTTTTATTCGTTTTACACTTTTTACTTTGTAGCCTATATATATATAATACAATACTGATTCAATCAAGCGAATCAGGTAATTTATATTTTTAATATCAATGATTACAATACTATTTACTATACATGACTAGTGGAGGTATGATTTTATTATATTCTGTTGTCCAGCACAAAATATTCTCCATAATTCTAATTTGTACAGCTGGAAGATATTGAAATATGCATTTGTTTGAGAGGGGTTCGATGTATATTTTCTATAACATAAGTCCCAAGCAAAGACCAAACTTAAAATTGAGAGATCATGATTATAAAGGTTGCCAGAGACCACTGCAAACAGTTATATATATTTTGAACTTTTTGAATTGCTAAAGTGCTAGGCTCACCTTTGGTTTTCATCTCAATGTTGTTCAAATTCTTATTTGTAACTGTATTAAAAGTCAAACTGATATCAAGAAAATTTAACAATCAAAATTGAATATATTTAGCGGAAAGTGACGTGGAAGGATTTCATTTTGAAGAAAGTGAAGGAGATGACGAAGAAACTGAAGAAGAAGAAGAAGACTTCAATCAACATGATGTAGTAACGGAGCAGACTGAAGTGGACGATGATTTTTTCAGTCTGCGTAAAATGGAAAAATTCTTAGAAGACGAAGATCGAAAATATGAATTAGAACAAAAGAAGCCGGTAGAGGGCGACATAGACTATTTTGAAGATATTCCATCCGATGGCATTTCCTCATCTGAAGATGAGAATGAAGAATATTCAAGCAAGATTAAATCATCAAGAAACTTGAAATATTCTGATTATTTTGATGAACCTATTAGTTCAATAAAAAATAGAAATGAAAATATTTCTGAGACTGAAATTGATGATAGAAACAATGCACAAGATCAAAAACAATCTCATTTTGAAAAGCATCAGAAACAAATATCACAGAAAATTGGAATACTAGAGGAAAGAGCATTGGCACCTGCAGAGTGGCAAATGACTGGTAAACTGTTTTATTCATTCTATAATAAAGAATATTCTGTCCACATTGGTATGCAAATCTCACTTGCTTAACGCACAGCACTAATCATGGTGCCTTTTTGGTCAGTCTCATAAAGAAATTCTCATAGAATTCAGTTTCTAACTCCAACTAAAATCACTGAGATCATATACCAAATTAGCACCGAGTATTCCTTAAGAACCCATTTGGAATGTGAAGTACTGGGAGTTTGTTTTAGCTAACCCTGGCCTCCATTTTAGTGGTCAGCTATTTTTAGGTGAATGCGTTATGTGCATTTTTCTAAGCTTGTATCGTAAAGAGAGCTCTAGCTGACTTTTTCTTACCAACTGTTACTTGATTATCTGTGATTATGACATCTTAAGTTAGATTGGTGAAATATTCATTTCAGTTACATAATTTATTGATCTTATTATTTTGCGATACAGGGGAAGTCAAAGCTGCATCAAGACCAGAAAATAGTTTACTGCAAGAGATGGTTCAATTCGATCATGTTGCTCGACCTCCTGTTGATATAACAGAAGAACACACTAAAGATCTTGAAAGTTTAATCAAACAACGAATCATGGATTGTGCTTGGGATGACATTGAGAGAAAATATAAACCTGATGGTAACTACTAATAAAAAAAATACTCTACTTTCGAAAATAATACTCTACTTTCGAAAAAATTCAATTTGTTTCCAACTTGTTTTAGATGTTCTCTATTGTATTTAGGTATCTGTATTGTATTATGGCCATAATTGAACTATCCAAAGCATACAGTTATCATTTCAAGATCATAAAATGGCATATTCAAATGCTTAGATGTATTATTATTTATATAAACAATTTGAATAATCAAGAACCTATTATAAATGGAGTAAAATTGTTTTAAGTATCCATATTATAGTTCTTGGTATGTAATTTCAACGCATCTTGGCTCTTAGCGATGCATTCGGTAAGCATCCATCTATATGCAGTGAGGCACTTTAATTTTCGAAAGCTCGAAATGCTAATTAGTTCTACATTCCAAATTTGTGTCACTATAGTGAAGTGGGAAAGTTACTATAGTAAAAATCTATCCTCTATTTATATTGACAGCTGAACCTGCTGAATACAAGAAAAGAATTGTGTTGGATTCAAGTCAATCAAAACTAACACTCAGTGAAATTTACGAGAAGGAATACATGGAAAAGAAACAGAAATTAGGAAAGGAGGTTGATGAAAAAGAAAATGAAGAACATAATGTAATTAAAAAAGATATGGATGATTTGTTCCGAAAACTTGATGCCTTGTCGAATTTCCACTTTGTCGCCCCTCCTCCTGAACCAGAGGTATGTGTGTATGAAACATAAACATTTCATTATAAAGTCTGTTAAGTCTTTTAAAGTCTTAAGTCTTCTTCTGAATGAAAATGAGGTGTTTTTCTATTATTATCTATGTGGTAATTACGTTAATTCAAGACATATTTGCTAACTTTGACTGTTAGAAACTTAGAATGGATCATATATCAGTCCTTGGAGGCTCTCGGAGCATGTGCAACAAGATGGCTGGCACCTGAACATAGTATGTGTACCAGGTTAGGGTTAGGCCATAATTTTATTCCAAATCTTTATTTTAGTTCTATTACGAATTCGGGGACTAGCCAAGTGACTCCCGTAGTATTTGTACCTGAAATTAGGGCCTAACCCTAACCTGATACAAATACTACGTACCGGTGTCTACCATCTTCTTGCACATACTACAGGAGTACCAGTCCTTTTTGCGGGCCTAGTGTGGATTTCTTTCATTTTCCTGACTAACAATCTTAATCATGTTCTTCACAGCTGTTCATGAAATATTCCAATGTAATGATGGTCAACAAATTATAAAAACCATTCTTTTCTAGATTAAGTTAATTACAAATCTGCCATCGATTGCAAAAGAAGAAGTCCAGCCTGTAACACAAGCAGAATCCAATATTCTAGCTCCAGAAGAAATATTTTCAAAATCCAAGTCTGGAGAAGAAAAATCTACATTGGAAAAATCATCAACAGACAAAAAGCGTGAAAGGAGAAAAAAGAAAATAAGAATGAAGGTATGTTCTGAGTACTGTAGTGCTGTTCTTTTTTGATAACAGTATTCAATCATCTTCAGTATACTGAACCTGACCGATAAGTTGCCATTTTGGTCACCATTCTTAGCCACTCTTACACAAACTGGAGCCATTTTCTGTTCTTTCGCGCATATATGGTTCGATCCTCAAAATGTACATTGATTTATCCCCACTTATACTCAACGCCAAAACTCCTTTTTGTGCCAATTGAATAAATATTCATTTTGGAATAAATTGCTCGCAGGTAATGTGCTTTCTGTCTGAATTCTAAAATACATTTACAAGACTTTCGCTATGAACAGAGTTATTGGTAGGCTTACTATACGTCCCGGTTTAGCCGGGACAGTCCCGGTTTTAGCAAGTTTTTCCTAAATGTTCCGGTTTTCAGTATGGCAGTCATAAAAACCTTTTCCATTTAATACTGTCACAAAATTGTTTTTAACGGAGGCAGCCGATTCACCACTGAATTGCGTCTCACTTCACTAGTTCAGATAGAGAGAAAAATTGTTATGTCGTAAACATAATTGTGATATGAAGTATGAAACAGGCATTAATTCAACAACCAACTGTATTGTCGTTAAATCATCAAAATGCTGAAAACAAAGTGCAAGTTTTTTAACAAGTTCAACGTTTTCCATTATTTGAAGCAAAGATCGATAGAGGATATTTTAATAGGGTGAACAGCTAATTTTAATGCCCGTAATCTACCCACAATGGTATGGAAAATGTTTAAATTATTACTAAGCCTCTGGAATCGAACCAAGGTTGGCAAGTTTTTTGCTTCAGATATATGGTGAGCCTAGTTATTGGTATGATGCCACATTATAACCTATCATGTTTGGGACTGTCATGAAGAATACCTATATTATGGCAATGGCATCATATGTCACATCATGTAAAATGTATTACGGTGCCATGAATAGATTTTTGGTTTGCATGAAATTCGAAATTATAGTTACAGGCAAATATGCTCGCTAATCACCCAAATATATTAGGTAGTAGAATAAGAAAACTCAAGACTGTAATGACAAAAGGTCATGGCAACAAAGTACAGTTTTTCAAGATTAGAGAAATTTATTTATCCCACTGTATTTAATTTTTCAACCTCCAAAGCAGTAAATAATTTTGGACAATGAATATTAACTTGATTATCAAATATCAGTTTTAACATTTTTTAACAGGTTTTATTCTAGAAAAATCCTTTACAATTCAGAATTGACTTGAAAATGAATAAAAGTTCACAAGTGAATGCCCACTACTTTGCCTAGTGGTAAATTCGTCCCTGAACTTATCTAAGCAGTAGAGTCGCCCATAAATATAATATATTGCTGCCAATATTTTTAAATTTCATTCCGTGTTATAAATTTTAATGTTCATTTCAAAAGAGCAAATAAATATTTCAGGTACGTGCTAATGCACGATTGGAGAAGTTGAAAAAATTGGATCCAACCAGTGATAAGGTGAAGACTTTGGAAGCAGTTGATCAACTGAAAAAAGCTGCAAAAGCTCCTGGAAGTAACACCACAATTATAAAGGTATATTTTATGTTATAAAATTAACAACCATCAACTTGCTATTATGATACTCACCACAATACTCTCAAATTACATTGGAATCCCAGCATGGAATCTGCCTGTCAGCTAACTTGTGAAAAAAGTTCGAAATACTAAGTATCACAGGTCATAACATTTTTTTTTTCCTTTTTCAGACCACAAAAAGCAATGGAAAATTAACTTCACAAAAGTTTTTCTCCGAACTACAAGATAAAGGATCAAATTTTAAAAAGAAGAAAGCATTGAAATAAATTCTAAAAAAACCTACACAGAATATATTTTCTTGTTGAAAATGGGGTGGTGTGAAAGGGAATTTTCTAGCAGTATACAAGAGTTTCTTTTTTCATATTCGCTCAATATGAAGCATCTGTAGCCGCTTTGGATAACTGTGTTACTGTTCAACAAACGTTGAGCTCCGTTATTACATGGGCAGTGGAATTTACAACAACTGAGAAGAAGCCTAGCCATTATCAATAGCTATCCCTTTTACAATCTTGCGACACATGTGATTGTTGGGTGGGAAATGCAGACTTTGTTAGGATGAAAAGAATATACAATTATATCTATCGGGTCTATAAAATTTGTCAACGGTTCATTTTTTCGGCAAATATTAATATGTTTAATATATAGCATGTGCATAGATTCCACGCAGAAGAAGAATTGGTGAATTCAAAAGCAAAGAGTGTAGACAAAAGAAAATAAATCTTGGGTTAAACTTATAGAAGAAATCGGGAACGGTTCTGTCGTTTATGACCAGAACCAGCAAAGCCGTCCGTAAATGATACAAAAATGCCATACGGTATATTAATGTGCGATTTCAAATATAAAATCGATCTTTACTATTTGTAATAGATTTTATTGTTGTGTCTTAATTCTTCTAAATCTAAACAGTTTATCATCATTTCCAAGACATTCACTGTGGTTCGCGGAAAAGAATAGGACAAAACTAATTAAATAATTGTAATTTCCATTGCGGTGTACACCAGGCGTTCAATGGTGGGTAAAATATTTTGGTATCAAGGAATCATGTAAGAGCATGCTTTTGTGCCCAATCATACAATGCAAAACCATTTCCTTTTATATGCGTCACTAAACACGCCGTGCTCCGTGTCGTAACCAAAGCGTCACGTGTTTCGCGCGCATGCAATGAGGTTGCCAGATAAAAATGGACGTCAGATCCAAGCCGTTGAACAACATAATCTCTTTTTGTGTTGAAAATGTGACCAAGAAGAAGTTGTCTCATCGTCAATGAGTTATTTTATACAAGTATTTAGTGAAATAGACATCTGTTACTTTTCTTTTGTCTATTCACAAATTCCGCTTAACGTAATTCATTTCAAATTTTTGAACGTAACCAAATTTTAGTTAACATCTGGCAACTTGAACAAAATATATATTTCAAATTTGTTTTGTTTCTGGAGAAGTTCCCCTTTTCCATTGCCGCAATGCGGATTTTAGTTTATGTGAATTATTCTTGATTTCTCTCAGTTTTCTGGCCTTACTAGGAATACCAGTCATGTCCCTGTCTATATAGCTGAAGGTCAGTAGCTAGCTTTTGTGGCAATAAATCTCTCTCTCTACTGAGCTACCGGTATGTTGTGTACCGGTAGTTATCAGTTGTTAGGGTGGCGCTGTAAGCATATACAATTCTGCAATTACAGTCTGACAGTATATTAAAATGTTCTTATATGTCTTCAAGCGGGATTTGTGTGTTAGAATGAATCCTGTTCTGCACTTCTGTAATTAGTCTTGTTGGTTGCAGTACCACGTATACTGCTATATTTTACAATTGTCAGAATGTGGTGAATGGAAAAAAATTGTTTGTGCAAAACTAATTTGGTCATTGAGTTTATACATTTGTAACAGCAAAATTAATATTTTAGATTTCCTGATCTATCATTCCACTTTAATAGTTAAAGTGCTTCACGTCAAACGACCAAAATGTTTTGTTTTAGATGAACCAATCTTCCATTTTTTAGACCGTTTGTCTCTTAGTTCTCAAGTCTGTAGGATTTCAGGGTTAGGGTTAACATATTTATCCCGGGGGAGAGGAAAGACGATAAGACGGCTTATCCATATGGCGAATCACGGCCTCTCGTCCGGTTACCATTCCAAGTCGGGTATGGGATTAGTTATATTGTTTGTTTTCGGAAGCATGGACTTGGTGGTGGAGGAAGCCGTAACCGACCAGCGGTTACGTGAACCACCCAACGACGGCGAGGAGACCAGCAATCCTCTCGCACATAATCATCCCTGCATGGGATTCGAACCTGCGAACCCACGCAGAGTAATTAGAGGTGCGGTGGCGAGCGTATTCCTAACGCTTAGCCCGTTGAGCCACACCGCCGCGCCGCGGTTCAGCAATTCTGATTCTCTAGTTATAAATTGATCTATGGGACATATTGAAAGGAATCCTAGTGCCTTAGTAAAATAATAATTTAATAATATTAATTAATATGTAATTGAATATCTCATTATCTCTTATAAAGTAGGTGGGTAGATTTTCATAAAATTCGATAATTTGCAATTTACTGAAAATGGGTAAATGGCCAAAATCCTATCTGAAATATCAGAAAGAATGGGAGCAGGATCCTGAATTTCAAGATTGGCTTGAGAGCTTTCCTGGTGATGATGAGAAAGGTCGCTGCAAAGTATGCTTAACAATACTTAAAGCTCGTTTGAGAGATATCAGAAATCATGGGAGAACAAAAAAGCACATGAAAAATATGGATCCATCTGCTTTTGCAGAGCTTATGAAAATTGAAGTCAAACCACCCCCACCTCCTCCGTTGGGAAATAAAGCAGCTTCCTTAAAAATGGCAGCTCACATAGCATGCCATTCTTCAATATTGACTGTGGATCATCTTTCGGCGCTTATCAAAGAGATGACCCAAAAACGTTTTTCTCTTCATCGTACAAAATGTTCCATGTTGATTCGGAAAGTGCTTGGGCCCGAAATGCACAACGAGTTTCTTGATGATGTTCGTAACTCTCAATATTCTTTAGTCATTGATGAAAGCCTGGAGCCTTCTTATGAGAAGCAATTGCGTGTGGTGATTCGATATTATAGTATGAGAGCGCACAAGATAGTCACCTCATTTTTGGGTCTTCTTCCACTCGATGGTGGTCAACCAGATTTTATGGTACTCAATTTTTTGAAACAAAATAGATTGGATATTGGAAATTGTTGTGGTATTGCAACTGACTGCAATGAAGAAATATGTGAAAAAAATGCAATAATTGCTAAAATTCTGGAATATAATCCTAATATTGTTCATGTAAAATGCATGTGCCATTCTTTGCAAATCTGCTTATCAAAGGCATTTAGACTTCTCCCACGAAATCTAAATTTTATGATTGCTGAAACATATACATGGTTTTTGCATAACTCAGTCAGACAACAGAAATACAAAAATATATATGAAAACATTAGTGTTGCTGATCCAGTACTAAAGATTTTACAGCTGCCTGACACAGAGTGGCTCTCTGTCGCTCCTTGTGTCAACAAGATTCTTGACAACTACGATGAGCTAAAGTTGTATTTTCAGCTAGCTCAAAGCCAAGAAAATAGTTACACTGCGGAAATTCTATTTCATATGTTTGATGATCCTGTAAACAAGCTATATTTGTCATTTTTGCAACCAATCGTTAATGAATTTTCTAGAGTCTACAAACAAACAGAGCTGGAATCTGGAGGCGCGTATCGATTAGGAAAAGAATACTTAAGCTTGTACAAAAGGCTTCTTCATATCATTGTTAAACCCGATGTCTTTGCTTCTCAAACTTCATTATTGGACATAGACATTGGTGATGGAGAGAATCAGCATGGTATCGCATCAGTTGATTTCGGTGCCAAATTCTCCATGGTACTGACAGAGTCGATCATGATCCATCCATCTCAAATTGAAAATGCTAAACAAAATTGCTATGAATTTGTTTTTGCACTTGCTTCTCAGCTTAAAGATATACTGCCTCACAATATTCAAATCTTGAACAGCATGTCTTCACTAGTACCTTCGGTTGTGCTCGGGTCTAAGAAACCAAGACTATCAAGTTTACCTTTCCTTGCCCTATTTAATGGAGATTTAATCCAGCTTAACAATCAATGGCGAAGGCTTGAGACTATAAATTGGCAGAAGGCATTGGACTCGTGCTGTGAAGAATTTTGGGGTGAAGTTGCGAGTCATGTGAATGAGGATGGAGAACATGATTTTCAAGATCTTGGGACCTTTATGGTTGCACTTCTCACTTTGCCACTCACTAATGCCTCAGTCGAAAAAGTTTTTCTGCAAATGAACATGATAAAGAGTAAGCCGCGGAATCGAATGGGCCAACAGCTGCTAGAAAATATTTTAAGAGTCCGAGCATATATGAAAAGAAACAACATTTGCTGTGATGACTTTATTCCTTCTGATAAAATGATAGACGCATTTCGTGCCGATATATATAAATCTGAAGTCAAACAAGAATTAGAGATAGAAGTTATTACAGACGAACGAAACTTTCCACAAAGAGTTAGGGTGTAAACTGCTTGAAAAAATCGAGAAGGTTTCAAATCCCATTTTCATATTATAGCTGAATTTGAACAATTTTCTAACTGGCTGTTGTGTATTCGTATACAAATTACTTCACCATTGTATTCTTCCTAACCAATACGCATGATTTCTTAGAAAAAAATGAGTTCCTAATCTTACAAACAACATTTTTTAATTTGAAAATGGACATCTAGCTATATATAATGCTTTATTTGACATTCCGGCATGGCAATCATGCTTGTGATTTGCAATATCTTCTAATTGTTTATTTCAATTATCTTTACTTAAGTGAAAATAGATCAACCTACAACCTGTCGTACAAATGTAGAGCTGTGTGTATTTGATCATAAGATCAGCACACTGTTATTATCTTCAATTGCAGAACTAAATCTTGACTTTATTGTTATGTCAGATATAGATTGATGCTCGTATTTCTAATTTCCACCTCACTGAAATTGCCAATTTATAGTTCATATTTGTTTCAAAGCAATGACAATTTTATATGGTTCTGACAAACAAATGTTGCTTCAATATTAAGAATAATTGGCATTAAGAAATGTATGCGGAGGAACATGCCAATACGCCATAAATTCTTTTCCAAGTATAGGCATTAGGCAAATGCAGAATCTCTCACTGACACAAAGTATACAATGGGAACAATAAAATGAGCTATATTTTATTATGGTGAAGTGAAATAGTCTTCTGTTTTGTCTAGATATATCATCGCTATTATGGTCTTTGCAATGCTATTAGCAGTTATTTATGCTTGACTCTTGCACATTTTGAAAATGCTTTTTGAGTTAGTTGAGACTGTATATAAATTGATGCTTCTTTTTGTGTTTTTATTTTTCCCAGATTTTATGCTTTTATTAAATTATTTTATCCTATTGATTTATTACACGCCATGTATAAATCAACGAACTCATGTTCTTCGCAACATGTTGCTGTTAAACCGGGAGTCTGGCTCTCAAAATCAAAACAAAGAATAAAGGTAATTGTTGTCAATATATATCTCAATTCTCATCTATACTATTGTGTTATTTAAAATTCCTCTGTTCCGATTGAAATAATGTGCAAGATAATGACAACGTTGAAAATATGAATTAGCTGTTGTGAAGAGTTTTGGGGTGAGGGTTGCAAGCCATGTAATTGAGAATGGAGAATACAATTTTTAAGATACAGTATTGGAAGCTTTGTGGTTGCATCTCTCACTGAGTTGGCATCACCAAATCGGGTGCCCATCACGTCACAGAAGGTATACTAAATTGGTTGGGAAATGATGACAGTTGCACCCCTCATACTTTTGGCTGCTTGTACAAAGCGAAATGCTTGTGAAAAATAAGATTTAAAATTTTTTTTCTGTTCGCAGAACCCAAGGAAGCTTGATGTGAAGATTACAAGAAATGTATTTAAACAGAAATACAATAGAAGAAATATTAATCAACAATCAATATTATCTTTTGCAAAGAGTCGTCAGGGTAAACTCACATCACATGAAGATTTATATTCAGAGAGTGAGGATAAGGAGAATGCAGTTGTCACTGACATAAATATCTTGAATGCAGTGACGTCACAGACACATTTTGACACCAGACCAATGAAAGAAGTGAATGTGCAAGTTGAACATTCCCAGTGTTTAGATGTTCCCAGCAAACCATCCAAATTATCAAATTCGCCCAAGAACTCTAACAAACTGTCGTTCGATAATGAAGTCAATGAAAGCTCTGGCCAACTAAATCTCCCTGAACATCCTACACAATATAGCTTGAATGCAGTGATATCAGAAAAGCAAACACACTCTAACACGAAACCGATTAAGGAAGTGAATGTGCAAGTTAAACATTCCCAGTGCTTAGATTTTCCTAGCAAACCGTCCCAATCATCAAATTCGTCCAAGAATTCTAGCAAACTGTCATTCGATAGTACTTGCAATGAAAGCTCTGGCCAAATAAATCTCCCTGAAAATTCCACACAATATGAAAAAATTGATATTCTGAACGATACGCTAGATTGGATATCATTCAAACCATTACAAACTTCCACGCAAATCTCTGGAAATTCACAAATGATTATGAATAATTCTTTCCACGATTCTTCAGAGTGTACACCCAATGTAGTAAGGCCTGACATTACGATTTTAGATGATCACACTGTTTCACAGCAGGCATATTCCAGCCCATTGCAACCCTCAACTCAAATCCCCCTGAACTCCCAGAGGTCCGACGAACCAAAAGGCGTCTCCGTCTCAGATTTCAATGATTATCAGCCACAGTCTCCACACCTATACGACTTATCTGTTCGCTTCACTCAAGATTCTCAAGGCAACCAAATATTTTCCAGACTTTCACCAAAAAAGCAGAATTTAATACCGTAGTTTATTAATTTGCAATATTTGAAAAAAAAAGTGCAATAAGATGAACCCTATTTGTGTAAAAATCTTGGAAGTGCTTCAAAAGCTACTAACACTTAATAGCAGACAGGAATGGGCAGTAAATCAGCAACAAGAAATAAAAGGCAAGAGGTTGCAGCAATAATCCGGCTTGGTCAACTAGAATGAACAGATCGTATCTTATTAAAAACATACAGGGCTTCAGCTACAATTTGATTCCAAGTAAAAATGAAAACATGATGTATTTATGCATGCATAACAAAAAGAATATATATAAACTATGTAGATAGAAATTGTGTGGGGCAGTGTGTTATATGATTATAAATACAGAAAGCTACAGTTGGATAAGATAAATAATGTGTTATAATCTCATATTGCTTACTTTATGCTGGCCTAATCGGAAGATCTTGTGATTTTGCCTCAAGCAAGTATAGGAAATAAAAATTTGGCAGAAAGATTACTAACTAAAGCATCACAAAATATGAAATACAAAATAAAAGCTTCTATTTCCTGATAAAATAAATAAAAACTAATAATCTCACTTCAATACCATTTACCAATTTTTGTTGTCATGTTTACATGGTTTGTTGCCATAGCACCAAGGTCGTCTGAATACAAAAAGTTACCCTTTTCACCACCAGCAAATGTATCATAAGCAGTCCTCATTTGTAAAGCTATTCTGGCAGGAGGCATTCCACCAAATCCGTTACATAATGCTGGGCACAGGATAGATATAATACAATCTTCTTTCATACATGTTTCATTGTGATGTTTTACTGTAATGAAAATTCAAATATATAAGAGCATATGGGAAACCGGCGACAGGAACTTCGTATAGGTAACTTCGTAGATAGGCATCATAAAATTCCAATTAGTATATATGTTTCTGCCTAGAACAAATATATATCAGTGTGAATAGATATATTTTTTAAAGGCTAGTTAGAAACGCACAGTCATGTAATAGTAATTTAATGTTGTGTCACCTTATGTTGTTGGACCACTTTTTCATGAATATTTCATTATGGGATGAGATATACTAGAAGCTGAACACACCTGTCTTTATCGCAGCTCTGAAAGCCAAGTACGCATTTGCAGATTCCGAGACATCAAGCGGAACCCTCATCACAGGCACATAAATTGCAATATTTCACTCCCGTACAAGGATCAAGTGGCCTTATGAGACCTTTTCCCTGTAAAGCAAAAAAGAAATATAAAGATAGGATTTACATATTTATCCCGGGAAAGAGGAAAGCCGTACGGCTTATATGGCGGACCACAGCCTCTCGCCCGGTTACCATTCCATGTCGGTATGGGATTAGTTAGGTATTGGTTCTCGGAAGCATGGACTTGGTGGCGGAGGAAACCGGCGGCGGGGAGTCCAGCAATACTCTTGCACATAACCATCCCTACATGGACTTCGAACCCACTCAGAAGTGTGGTCTAACACTTAGCACGATGAGCCACACCGCCAAGATAAATTTATCAGTATATCAATGATTCCACAATTTTTGAGAAGCTTTCCTTTTAAAAACATAAAAAAAAAAATATATACCGACTCTCACAAATGCTTCTTGCTACAATTACAATTAAAAAAAATATGGTGTGAAGAACAATATTTGAAAACAAACATTTTAAGGGTTGATATTAGGGAAGTTACTATCTTGCAATTTCATCTAAGGATTTGAGACTTACCACAACTAATTCTCCATCATGCTCTTCTTTAATTAAACTTCTGGAATTCGTCTTGCCTGAATTGATATAGCAATTAGGGTTAGCTAGGCTTTGTACATAACCAGAGAATTTGAAAGTAAAAAGAAATTTGCCATTCGATCAATCTCAATCAAAGCATAGGGTTACAGTAAAGCCAGTGGTGGGATTCAGCCGGTTCGCATCGGTTCTATAGAATCGTCTCACAGAAATTTACGAGATCAGCGAACCGGTTAGCATCACTAAAAACTTTGTGTAACAGAACCGGCTGAAAATATGACTTTTGTGATGGGACCGGCTGACAAAAAATTCGAATCCCACCACTGGTTACAGCATGTATTGAGAAACAAATAAAAGCCCAAAACACCACAGCAGATTTATTGGTTAATGTAGTTTTGATATATTGATAGTCTTGGTTTAAAATCAGACTAAAAACTTACAAATTCCAGCCAAAAGTATTTGTGTACTCAATTTCTGGTTCACCATCGAGAAATCCAAAACTATTCCCTGGAATAACCTGAAACAAGTAAAATAAAATTTATGTATGCTGCTTGTTTCCATTACCCTGCAAAATATTTAGCCCCATTACAAAACAAATTATTTAGCAAAAGATGTTTAATCATGCTCGTGTTGAATTAAAATTTATCAAAGAAGAAGCTTACCACAGCATCGTAACCTAATTCTCCATCAAGGGGTGGTTGACACGAAACCACAACGTTGTTACAGTCTACAAATATCCTTTTCCATTTTGAGCATTGTAATTCATCTGGATCCCTCAGTTCAAATAGCAGCTTTTGCATGAATTTTGAAATGTTGGGCATAGGGCTTGCTTTTGATATGTTACCTTAATAGATAATAGAAATGTTATCCAAATAATTTGTTATAATAAACATGACTGGAAAACCACTGCTGATATCAATTGTTAAATACAAATTACAAGCAATCTTCAGACCTTTTGAGTTGTGAGTTACAGTGTTCACAGTTTTGCTGGCAGGCACTTGACCATCACTTTCTTCAGTTTCGTCTGATATAACCTCTCTGCAAATATGGAGCAATAAGGAAATGGATTTCATGGTGAGTAATTGCATTTTCAAAGTTATATATATATGAAATTTATCATACGCTTTGTCACTGGATATTCCAGATAGTTGTAACTTCAAGACTTTTTTGGACCGATACTCTCAGATGTTACTCTTGCTTGATTTTCTTGGTTATTTTGTGGGTTCGATTTATTTGCAAATTCCCAATGCTCCGTATTTTCACCATCTTTGTATGTTATTTTGTTCCGGGAAAAGGGTTGTTAGTTTCTTTATTAGAGGTTTTACCTAACAAAAGAAGTACATGTTTTGAAAAATACTCAAGATGACTGAGGAGAGTACCAATAGTAGATAAAATAAAGGGTGGCCTCTATCAGAAACAAGGCCCGCCCATCTTCAAATTTTGCTGATGGAAACAGTGTGTATGCTAGATATCATATGTATATACATCAGTAATGAATAGAGCATTTGTCTCATGGGAAAAAAGCAACTATACATTTTACCTCGAGAAAACATATTCCCAATGACTTCAGAAGGTCAGTTTTTTCCGAACTTGCTTTAACATCATGAATATGCACTGCAATTAAATAATGTGAAACAATTACTGTCATTACAAAATTACTTGCATATTTTATCTTCCATTAAACACCAAGAATTGTTATGCTCAAACATGATAACTTGCAATGTAAAAGAAGCTTAACAAATTACTTGATAATAAAAAGTTGAATTTTTCGACGAATATATACACAGGATTCAATGTACGAAACCAGGTCATCTTCAATTGTACTAAGCAGTGTTTGGTGAAAATCCCTAACCTCTAGTCACATTTGATTCATTCGATGTGTTAAATCTCACTGGCGTAAATGACAGTCTTGAGTTATTCTATTCAGATGACTGAGTCGCTCCATGTTGAGTGACAACCAGATTTTTACAAAAAATTATATTCACTTACAATCCACAAGCGCATCATCTATACTGAGCTTTTCTTCTCTGTAATTGGTTGATTCTGCAGATCATTGGAAATCGCATTGTTGCAATTATTACTGTTCTTTGTGCGATTGTTTGATAAATAGAAGATTCATGCAATGCTGATGTAGAAAATAGCACATCTTCTTCATCAAATATATGAGAATCACTTTCATAATCAATCTGAGATGTTATCAGTGCTACCAGTTGAAACACCATCCTCACTCAAACTGCTCAAAGCATCCAAACGTCATCATTTTCTAGCAAATTTTCAGTTGCCAATAACACGTCAGAGATGGTACTAGAATTTGTCACGATGCCAGAATCTTCAATTGTTGATGACTGAAGTATCGCAGAATCATCATCTTCCATTTAACAGTTTCAATAACTTACAAAACTGACCTACTGGTCTCCCTATCTAGTGATCAATGTAATAAATAATAATTAGGAATTAGGTTTGAATTTATTTTTACAAATCAGAAGTGAAAGAGAAGCTTCATTCACCTGCAGACTTGCACCTTGTGAATTATCTATAATAATATAAGTATATTTGATTTTCCCACAGAAAAGTCATACACAAACAATGAACACACAGAAGATTGGGAAAAATCGGGGAAACTGGCAAAACCTTCATAAAGGATAATACATGTAAATATACATGCACCAGTTTACCCACTAACAAACTAACGAGAATATCAGTCAGAGACCGAAGACTTATCGATCGAAAGCTAGGGATCCCCAAAACAGCGCTCTTACTCCATAGTGACACCTTGTGTCCCATCACTAATTAATTAATAACTCGCTAATTATACTACATAATTCATCCAAAATCAATAGGCTTCTGGTACGACATATGATGAATGCACATGCAAAATCTGGAGCAGATTCAATCTCGCTTCCGTGAGATATCGCGTGCATCTAACAGACAAACAAAAGACAAATACCTATCAACATACTTACCGATTAAAATCGATAAGTAATGATGCAAATGTGGTATTCGTTGCAATGATATTGTTATAGACTGATCAAAACTTTCCTGTCTCTCAATTCAACAGATTCATGCATGTCAATGTAATACAGTACGGTAATTGCTGAAAATATCCGCTACATGACTACGCAACAAAATCGCTGTTTCGGCATACAGCAGTACAAACAAGTGCAAAAATAGTTGAAAGTTATTATAATATTAATACCTGCTGCTGCGTCAACATACAATACTTTGGATACTCCTGTCTAGACCACATATTCACCACGTTCTACCTCAGTGCTTATATTAAGTATATAAATCGCTCATCCGAATGGAACTCGCCCGATTGCTGGGATACCCACCTTAGACGAAGCCAATAATATTTCACGCCATATTCTATTGAACATACTGAACAATATGCATATTTATATTGAACGACTCAAACGTAATCATTAGCTACGATCGCGTCGCTACACGATCACATCAGTCAAACGAACAGAATGTGTTACCACAAGACCGCCGCAGGCTTTCTGCTACGAAACCAATCGCACTTTCACAATATTTTGCGATATAACTAATGTTTACGGATTACCAAGTATGGCAATGCCAAAACGAGATACCCATTTTCAATGACTATCATCACAGGAAAGTGCTAATATCATATTTCAGCTAATGAATTTAACACAGCAATGTCAAATTAACGTAAGTAATAGATGTATTCAAATAATGGAAAGCAAAACAAAAACACAAAAACAATGAAATATTAATGCACTCTGCAGCAGTCGGGTAGGGATAAACTTGTTGTCCCTCGATGTATAGGATTTCGAAGATTCTTCTCTTATCAGGAATATTTATACGATAAAAGAGGCAGCAGCTTTTCTACTCGCAGGTTTGCTTTTGATCACTCGCGTGCGAACACGTGGATTCTTAGAAGATGGCCCAGCTGAACTTTTGGGCTGTTTGTTTTGTTTCTTACTGCTAGCTGACTCCATAAACCTGCAAAATGAACCATTTAGCTTCCCATCGTGAAGTTCGGGTAAAAATATACGGACACAATCTTGTATCAACACATTCAAATCTAGGTACTTTGATGAAAAAGATTTTCTCTTTAAACTCGGAATATGAATAAAATATAAATAGGAAAAAATAGTTGACGCCCAAGAAAAGGCATCGGTGATTCAATATGTAAACGATGCGCAAATTTCGATGCATATTCTCCCCCAATATGTTTACCAAAACGAAGTTCTATATCCCAAAAGACGGATTATTGACGTAGCGTATTTTTCTAAAAAGATTTTTTTATACTAGTCCTATTATTCTGATTCGAGACAATTTAACGTGCTTGCACTGCCGATAACTGCATCATCACGGAGCTGTTCAAAGTCGTTTGAAAATTCATATTTCACGGAATTTTGTTGATATCGTTCCATGGTTGATACATACAACTAGTCGATCGCGTTATTATTCTTCAAAAATAACTAAGCGATATTCATGTTTATTTTTTCCACCCAGAAAAAAAGGGAAAACCAATGGTTACGTGGAACATTTTAGGGCAATAAAAGCCGCGGAGCACATTGCCTTATTTGAAGTTTCCTAAGATTAAAAAGTTTCAATAATTATATCATATAACAGGGTAAGGGTTGAAAAGTATTTGCGAATCAGCTTTTAGTAATTGTGAATAATTCTTTGTCGGAAAAATGCGGTTTATAATATTGTCTCAAGAACGACTCACTTCCGTAAGCTCTGGCTGCTGTAATAGGGCCTGTCGTTGCCATCGTTACGTTGACAGTCGTCGCAGAAACATAGAAATATTGTATCGATTGCCATTCCAAAGACGGACATGAAGCAGGACGCTATGAAAAACGCACCCAAGCAGCAAATAATGACAGGAAACAAAAACGAAATATCAGAAGTTGATTTTTCCGAAAACCACGCTGATGCAAGAGTTCCAACGACACCAACTACAGTGACTTTGCCTGCAATAAGAAATTTTACATTGAGAAATAATAAAAACTTTTATTCGCGTTATATTTGGCTCGGCGGTGTGCGAATCCCGTGCGGGGATGATTATGTGCGAGAGAATAGCTGGACTCCTCGCCACCGTAGGGTGGTTCACGTAACCGCTGGTCGGTTACGGCTTCCTCCACCATCAAGTCCATGCTTCCGAAAACAAGTAACTGACTAATCCCATACCCAACATGGAATGGTAAGCGGACGAGAGGCCGTGTTTTGCCATATGGTTAAGCCGTATTATCGGCTTTCCTGTCCTCCGGGATAGATATGTTAATCCTATCCTATATCCGTATAGCGGCTTTCCTAAAAATAAAGATATTGAAAATAATATATACCTAGAAACAAACAAAATCCACTAAGGCAATTCAAGGCTACCACGTGCTGAGCGTTGCTGACCAAAAGTGAGAGCGCCTTTTTAGCGGATGCACAAAATCCTTCTCCGTACATGGCAATGCATATGAATGCATTTCTGTTGATGTATTTGAGCATTTTCTCGAAGCAGGCCAAACAACATTGCATGCATTTAAGGACGCATTTTGCTGCTTTGTTATCACTGTAAAGAAACAAAGAAAATTATAAATTCACAAAATATCATTTGTGTTACAGATTTTTTTTTCTCCTGTTTTGGTAGAAAAAAAATTAGAAAGCAATTGATCGCAAACCGATCTATTATAAACTTCTGTAAGGTTATGGAAAACTTCCTAATCAACAGCAGAGATACATACGAAAAATGACTTTAAGTTAAAAATAAACACACCTGGAACCAACACAGAAATGCGTCTTTTGACAGCAATCAATTTAAAAATATATTTGGCTCAACTTACACGTTTTTCATTTTTTTTTGAATATAAGCCAAGATCAGTCGGAAAAATTGTACAATGGCGATGATCAGAGAACCAAATGCCGCGGACCCGAGATTGTATAATATCAAATCTTTTGTAGGTTTCAGAGTTGGACATATTTTACAAGATATTTTTGTTTTTCCTCGAGTAAAGAACCATGTTGATAATGCTCCTGCTAGAATTATCTGCAAATGCACACAATCGAATAAAATATTACAATTTTTTTTTTCAAATAATTACACAGAAAATATTTATGTTCGATAAATTTTGAAACAACCTCACGTCGACTCAAAACATTTTCACTCCAAATTCAAGATCCTGTTATATGAAATAGAGCAATCGACCAGGTTGAAAAAATAGCTCCACGTCATTTTGTAAGCGGAACTTACCAACATAATTTCCTACAAAAGTCGTTGCCCGTTGAGTTATTTTCGGATTAGTATTGAAAACTTGACTATTACAACGTAAATTACCTCCTGGCATGCAAAAATAAATTCAAAAAGCCACAGAAAGACGAACACAACTGGTATCATCAACAGTTGTCCTGATTTCATTCCGGGTTTATTCATATAAGTAACAATGCCATCTTCATCCACATGAGGTACCTGGAAAATCGTAAACAATCCTTTAACTAATATAAATTCCAATACACTATTAGCCGATGCAAAAATTATATCCATACCTGATCTGAAAGTAAAAATGCACATTATCACCAAAATCCAGCGAAAGCAACAACCAATGCAAATTACTGTATAAAAGGTTGCAGAAGGATCCCCGGCATGCTGAAAAGTGCCAAACTTGCTTCATCAAACAGACTTATCACCAATTTTAAGCTTTTTCGTGACCAAATGAGAAGAACTACAAATGAAAAAGTAGAAAACACAAATTGATATACACAAATGAATTCACATATAAATTGAATGAAAAATGTGCTATATTCCCAACGAATTCGATTGGTCGTACATACGAGGAGTTATTCTGGAGAAATCTTGAATTACGAGTTTACGACCGTAAAGATACAAGTGAATGAATAAGTGTAAAAAATCATCAATAATTAGTACAGTAGGAAGCGATGTTCCGTTACATTGCCTTATATCTCGTCCCATACATACTTCCAGGTATAACATATGGCACAGGTCTTGCTTCAACTCAAAACTCAACTTATATTATTGTGGTTGCAGAGCATATGGCCAATAACTAAATGATGAAAAACCAGGGGCCGTTTTCATGCGTGAATACGCGAAATTGTGAAAGTATGACTGACAGGTTATATAAAACTTATTGACTGTTTTTCTGAGTATATATATATAAAATTGTTGGTCAAATTAGTATGCAGAACTGTTTGGATGTTTGCCGATCATGCAGTATCACGTCATAAAAACGAAAAGTATCTTTCTATCACACGAGATTTTAGGACAAAGTATTGAAAATGCACAATATTTAGATTCATATAGGTAAATCAGTGTATAGAAGCATTTCTGACACTTGGTAGACTAAATAAGCAAGTTGGCCCACACAATCACCCTTTAAAACGAATTTCTTTACATTAGTTATAGGCAATTGCCGTTCATTAAGTACAACTTACTCCATGTAATCAATGTGAACACTGTGACAGCAATTGTGATTGGTAGAAGATATTCACTTTCATGAAGACTGTTCAAACTTAAACTTGCTGTTAAATTTGACGTAGTCGTAAGAAGATCTGTGCTCACATTTGTTTGTATTCCCAATATGTCTATGAAAGCAAAAACAATGATTACATACGTCAAGAAATTTTGACAATAAATAAAAGTCATACGGTGATGCATTATTCAAGAGTACAAGTCTATATAAGTTTGACTGCATCAAATTAAATGGAATACCTATAAAAGACAAATACATCGAAGCTAATTTTAGTACAACACAAAGCAGGACACATACCTTCCGTTGACGAGGTCAAATTGACAATTGCTGTGAAAGCGGTCCCTGCTGGTATAACTTTGATCGTTACGAGATAATGATACCAAAGATAAACCGGCAACCGCTCCTGTGGCCGAGTGTGGAAACGACCATAATGGTGATGACCAAAACTCTTGTGAACAACTGCAGAAAACAAAAATTCATGTTGAATGTCGTTTGTATAGGATGTGAAACATAAAATGATGTGGAAATAGCATGCGTTTCTAGCTAAGATATTGCGAATATGTTCACTATCATACCAATATTACAAAAGCCTTGTCGACTCTTGTTACAAGCAAAACAGGCACAACGTTTTGCCTATATTTCCATGTCACATCGAAATATTGATTGATTTGAATGATATTTTCGCGGCTATATTTGGTCCAGTGGGCAGTGAATAATCGCTTTTAATAAAGTGCAATTGCTTCATCGTATATTATAAAAAAAAATTCACTTGTGTTTATGACCTATTCGTACTATTGTGAAATATGGTTCATATTTTCCTCGTTTTTACTAAGCTAATTTTACCTGGAGCATAATGATCGTCAGTAATGATATCCCTACAGCAATCAACAAAAGATAGGTTATTGATTCCCAATTGTCAGTAACAGAGAGGATCATATCGTGTACATGTTGCAATGGAGTGTTTTTTAGTGACTTGGGCTCATTACCAGTTTTATTCGCAATAACAGTTGTCGCCAACACATCTGCGGTTGCTATCGATGCTTGTGCCACTCCTTGACCTAATGCTGCCAACTGCTTCGGAACGCATCTGTTGAGAATAGCTTTGTGAGCAAAAACTTTTTTGCCTGGCATTTGGCATGCTCTTCTATTAATCACTACTCTTTTCACATTATAGCCATTATCGGCCAATAAGTCGGGGCAGTCCGTCACGGTGTCGTTGGGGCATTCACTGACACATAACACAATTGGAGTGTTGCCTTCGGATAGAATATTTTCCGGATTCAGCAGCAGTGATATGTCCGAAAGAAACAAATTCAACTCGTAGAAATGGTTTGATCGATCTTTACCCGAATTTTGGACTGAGGAGTTTGTGTTTCCGTCTTCTATGATAGGGGGATTCTTCTTACGGCCACATACGTTGCCCCATGAATCCACGCCGTTGATGTAACGCATCGGGTCGCCATTACGGGTCGAATGGTAAGCAACAAAACCTACCCCGCCTAATGCCGCTATAAAGAACAAGAGAAAGAAAACATCCCTGCATTTTCTACTTCTGACTGGAGTTGTGCTTCCCTGATCATTCCTTATGACGACCGGAGCGTTTTTGCTTCCACAGCACCCCATTTTCGCACTACGGAAACAGCAGCTCTCATTTAAATTGCCAACCTGTGTTCTGACGTAATCAAAGATCCAAGTCACTTTTATGACATCACAGACGACGTGAGATTTCGATTTAGGTGGCTAGGTCATAAACACATTTCTATCTTAAGTTCAATATCATGATATTATTGTTGAGCTTGAGCAGTTGGATGGGGTGATCATATCTTGTATTACCATTTACACAAAGAACACTTCAAATACAGTATATCATTATCAAGTGGCCATTGAGACTTGGATATAGACCTCGGACGACACCCCCAATATGACTTTTGTGCTACCACCCCTGTAGAACTGAGCTGCAACTTCTCTATTATATTTGTTTGCGTTTGCACACGTGACATAGCCTGCTGCGGCATTCAGCGTTCATTCCACATCGAACGCGCTTGTCGGTCAGTCGAGCAGTGAAGTGCATTCGTTCGTATTTTTAAATTTCGAGAAATATCATAAAATACAAAAAGATATGAGGCTTCAAAACAAAAAAATATTGGTCACAGCGGCTGCCCAAGGAATAGGACGGGCATCAGCTTTGGCTTTTGCCGAGGAAGGCGCAGAGGTAATTGCAACTGACATCAATTTTGACAAATTAAAAGAGTTATCGGGCACAAAAGGTATAACAGTCAAAAAGTTAGACGTTACCAAGGTATCGGAAATAGAAGAGCTTTCACGAGAAATTGGTCGTGTGGACGTTTTGTTCAATGTAGCAGGTTGGGTGGCTCATGGTTCTGTTCTGGATTGCAATGAAGAAATATGGGATCGTTCGATGGAAATTAATGTTAAGAGCATGTTCTTAACCATTAGATGCTTTCTTCCTTCTATGATTAGTCATGGAAAGGAACATCATAAACATGTCTTCAGTTGCATCTAGCAGAAAAGGAACCCTTTTGCGTTGTGCATATCAAACATCCAAAGCTGCAGTTGTTGGTTGACTAAATCAATTTCTGCAGATTTTTGTTCAAAAGGTATTCGATGCAATTGTATTCAACCAGGCACAATAGATAGCCTTCACTGAGAGATAGAATTGCATCAAATAGTGAAATGGATCCTGAGGAATCGATGAAAATGTTCCAAGCAAGATCTCCTATTGGTAGATTTGGTAAAGCTGAAGAAGTTGCTAAACTCGCTGTCTTTCTGGCATCGATGAATCAGATTTTATTCATGGTACAGAAAATGGTAATTGACGGAGCTTGGTCTGCATAGAATATTATAGTCTATTTTCTATCAGCTCATAATAAAAAATGGTGGACAAGAATATTTTATGTTACACAGTGTTTTATTATAACATTACGTGATAAATGTCAATGATTCTCCAAATTTTAATCCTGTAAGACGCTTAAAATATGCAGCTTCCAAGATCATCTGAGGTCTCTCAACAAAAATGGAAATATTACTGTAATTTTTGTTATTTGATGTTGTTCCTCCAATTATTTAATAGGCTCTATATCAAAGTTTCATACACAGCATTCGATTGGAAACACTACATATATATAGATTGCAATAATATTGGTCATTTTCATAATATCGCATCGACTATACCTTTGAGTTGTCAAGTGATTTTGAATTATATTCGAATTCGTCTGTAAAGAGATGAAATTTTGTGTTCAAGTAGCAAATTTTGAAATGACTTTATCATTATATACTCAACTTAATTCATCAAATATATCATCAATAGTAAAAATCAGTAAAAAAAGTTAAACTAATGTGCTAGGAAAGACTCTCATCGAAAAACAGAACACATATTTTAATTCTAGTACAAGTTAACTACAGAGCAGATATTTATTCTATGTTCCTATTATCATTATGGGAAAATCATGGGTGCTCTTATTGCTCTATATTTTATAATCTTTAATTTACAGTTTATTTTGAAAGATCCATGCCTCAGATTCAATTCGAGATCATTTTTAAATTGTATTATCGATAATGTTGAGATGAATTGATTTTACTACTACTTCAAATTAATACTGTATTTGAATAAAACCGTGTGAATGTTTAGTGGTTTCATATACCTTTCATCAATGTGCAATTTTCAATAATGTTTCAAAATCAAATATTTTGCCAATTTAGAAGTATTTTAAATTTCTCAAATCTCCAGTTATAGTGGTGTTGGTGTTGAGGTTAGTCATGACTTTAGCAAGATCTGCATTGTGCCTCATAAATTATTCCAGGTAAATTTTTCAAAAGGTAACTTTGTAAAAGTAATGATAGTTGACAGCCACCATGATTCCTATTATGGATGTAACCTGAATATAATTACCGTATTCATCCTACAATTTTTTTCACAAATCATTTTTCTACACCGATCTGGTGAGATTTGCCTCATTCCAGCAAAATAAATTTCCTTGTATGTTAAATCATGATTAAAATTCACCTTCATATATTATATTAAAAGTTTTTCTTCTGAAATTTGTACCATCTCAGAATTTTATTAATGTATGATTCAATACTACCGGTGCTACTTTACGGTGTGAAATTACAGCAGTTGTATGATTTCAGTGATTTTAGTTAGGATTAGGAACTGAATTATATGTCTTTGTGAGACTAAACGCATACCAGAGTGACAACACAATTGGTGCCACTCTGGTATGCATTTGAGATCATGTTAAGCAAGTGAGAACACATACAAACTTATGTATTTGAAATTTGAATCATGAGTTGAAAGAATATTAATCTTGTGTAAATGGTTCACTTACATGTTCAGATCTTCAAGATGTTTGGCGAATATAAGACAAATATCCAGTTCTTCTACAAATTTAACTTTGACTAAATTAACATCTGAACTATATGACGTTAAAAGGTATGATTGAGGTATTATTGTTGTGGCATATGCCATATTTTGTTGTGTTGTGCATTTTTTAAATATTAAAAATAAAAATAAATAAGAATTTCATTTCGCAATCACACAGAAATTCTTCTTCAGGTCTTTTAGCTAAAATTCTAAATTATTGCATCTCAAATGCATTTATTACTTTAAGGATTTGATATTATGGCCCTATTAATCAAATGTTAAGCAGATAAAAACGATTCCCAAAGATTCTTTAAATTGCTTGTCCAGTGTCTCCCAAAACAAAAATTAAATTTGTTCTTTTACACCATTGATATTTTGTAAAATAATTTTAGAGGACCTTATGGATTAGTATCAGATAAAGACATCAGAATATTTGAAAGTATATTAGGTGAACAACGTGTTATTACAGATGAAAATGTAATTGAATCATATAATGTGGATTGGTTGAACACTGTTCGTGGACAGAGTAAGGTACAGGATAAACAAAATAGTACTATTTCAACGCATTACCTTGTCTTCAAGTTTGGGCACAACTTTTTTCAATGATACTCAATACTCATTAATCCATCCAAAAATTGGCAATTGGCTGTCTTATGCAAGAGAAAACTAAAAGAAAAACAACAAAAATTCTTTCTGCAAAGATAGACACACTTCCAATTCAATAATTACCACTCAGTGGAAAACAGCATCATCATTTATTGCTATTTGCTACTACAATCAAAGATTAAATAATTTATCAATAACTCTAGCAATTTTTGATAGATTTGTGGCCTACCTGAAAATGTTTCTGTGGCACAGAAGTGGACCATGATACACCATTATTCAATAAGTTCTTCTTATTTATTACAGGTTTTGTTGAAGCCCAAAACAACTGAAGAAGTTTCAAAAATTCTCATGCACTGTAATGAACAAAATTTAGCTGTTTGTCCACAGGTTAAAGATATTTATGATACATTTGCTGAATTGAGTTCAATGCAGTGTTGAATATTTCTGAAGTGATTCATAGGACTTTATTACACCCTTCACTCTGAATAAAGCTCTGTACAAGCCCGTGGCTCGACGCGTGCTTAGTGTTAGGAATATGTTTGCCACTGCACCTCTGATTCGCAGGCTCGAATTCCATGCGGTGTTAATTATGTGCAAGAGCATTATTATTAACTTTGTGCTTCCTCTACCATCAAGTCCAAGCATCTGACTGGCTGTCTAACTCATCCCATACCGACATAGACTGGTAACCGGTCGAGAGTCAATGGTTCGTCATATGATTAAGCCCTCCTATAGACTTTTCTCTACCCCAGCATAAATTTTTGAATCCTAATCCTGAACAAGCATTCACCTATATTTGAAAAAGTATTTTTGAAAGGATTGGAATTCTTTCGGTTCAATATTTCCTACCCACTCCATAACACCCGGGTAAAGTCATAACAAGGCTGTGGAGACTAAACCCAGAAGTCGAAACTTTGTGTTGTTGTTATTGTTGATTATTGAAGTCAAAATATGAACAGACACCTATAGAAGGCTTGCTTATACCAAATTTCTGTAAAATTCAGCGTTCACATAGCTTGGAACTGAAGACATTTATCACTGTTTTTTTTTCCTTAAAACCCTGAACACAGTTTTATCAAATAGTTGAGATTATTACAATGATTAATTCAGCTGACCTCATAATTAATAGAATTTATGTCAAATATTTTCAGAGTGGGAACACTGGATTAGTTGGAGGAAGTGTTCCTGTTTTTGATGAAATTATTCTTTCTATGCAACTGATGAATGAGATTACATCAATTGATCCTTTGACAGGTTCGTGTAGATGTTTTTGTTTATGATTTATTACCAATCCTATGAATGAACATGGTCCTGGACTCCTGAGTATGACTTCCTAATTAGCTGTGGAGTTTGTGAAAAATTAAAACCGACTTCAAACTCTGATCCATTTTAAAAGCCAATTTTTGGCACCTAACTCTTGTCTCTTGGTTAACAGAAATTTCGGCTGCGGCTCCAAATTTCAATCAAATTTTGACTGTTTTGTGTGGGCAAGCCTTTTTTTATTTGTCTCTTTCAGTCAACTTGATGCTTTTTGGCTTCTGTTAAAAATTCCGATTACCGCTATTAGAAGCCATTGACTTTGAGTTTAAGGCTACAACTGTGACTTTGTGTCTAATATCATTGGAAACATATTAAAACTCACTCATGGCTTCATTTACGACTAATACTTTCCTTTCTCTCCTGGTATAAATATGGAAATACTTTTATCTCAGTACAGGTATATTGCAATGCCAATCTGGTTGTATTTTGGAAAATTTGAACACAGCTCTCGCTTCTCATAATTTGACAATGCCTTTGGACCTGGGAGCGAAGGGTAGTTGTCTAATAGGTGGAAATCTGTCTACAAACGCTGCAGGAATCAGATTTTTAAGATATGGTTCGCTCAGAGGATCAGTCCTAGGTATTGAAGCAGTAAGTATGTGTGCTTGTACTCTCAATAGCCTAAATTAGTTGAAGTTGCCTAGTTGAAGGTCTAGAACGATTTTGTTTCTACTTCTAATGTCTAAAAAAAAACTCTTGACTATTTATATTAATACCCTCCTGGTTTTACAAATAATTACAAAAAAATTGTGATTTGTTTTTTCTGCAATTTTGCACCCAGCTTGAACTACTTCATTAATATTGCTTGTTTGTTCATTTATAACAGGTTTTGGCTGATGGTAGAGTCATGGATTTCTCAAGTACTATCAGGAAAGATAACACTGGTTACGATCTCAAACAGCTATTTATAGGATCAGAGGGAACGTTGGGTGTTATAACTGGTGTATCTATACTTGCGCCTGTCAAACCTTCCTGTGTTAATGTCGCTTTTTTCGGTAAAAAAATTTATTATGTTCAACAAAAATGTTTCTTATGCCACTCACTCTAAATGAGGATCTGTAGAAGCAGCCTCTGATATGTGAGGAGCCTTTATCCTTGTAAGGGCTGGAATCTCTCTTGTTCAGCATTTGGTTATCATATGCTATTCTACCGGAATTTTTTCTGGTAAAATCTATTGAATATATTGTTCGGTGTCTGATAATTTGAATGAGAAAAGCAATTGGCAAAGTGATATTACGACTGTAACACAAAAGTAGCATCCGATTTTCATGCCAGATTAAATGATAATGTACTTGTAAAATGATAATTCCCATTTTTTTTGTACTAGAAGGAATCATTTTGTAATGGTATTTTATACTGTCTTATTCATGTCATTATAGTCATCCATGAGTTAGAAACACAATGATAAACTTTGATGTAGCAATATTTAAGTTGGTAGTCTTTATGCAAACATGCACCATGAAAATGCTGACACCCTTGTTTGAAGTAGGGTATAAGTGACTCACTTTGCTAAATGTAATGCAAACAACCTGATATGTTTGAGATACCAGTAAGTGAGATGAAATGATGTAACCTTGTAATAAGTATTGTAAGGTTTTTTTGACTTTGGGAAAAATTCTCAATTGTATTCACCCAGCGATTTTTGAACAGAATAAAATTTGAAAGAAAATAATTGATATCATGATTAAAAGACTGATATTTCAATACCGAAGTGTACGGTCTTACTTTAATTCAAACTATATTTTGAACTTGAATAATCTCTCAACTTGAATAAATTCAATAAAAGCTGATGTAATCCTCTTTATCTTTAGGTGCAGACACATTCGAGGACCTTCTTTCTCTGTTAAAATTAGCCAAAACATCTCTAGGCGAGATTTTGTCCGCGATTGAATTTCTCGATTCATCATGCATGAAAGAAGTGGGAGAACAACTAGGAATGCCAAATCCAATATCTGAACATCCATTTTATTTTTTGGTTGAAACATCAGGTTGGTTTTACATTTCATAAAATACTGGTTGAAAAAACATTGAGTTCTTGTGATCTTCCAAGTAGTTTCAAGTTTTGAATTATTCTTTTAGAATCACATCAAAATTATTGACCATCTATTCATTTTTTGAACCACTCAACTGCTTTTGGTGAATTTTCACTGTTTAATTTCATATACAGAAGCTCTGTTCAATTTCCCTTTTTGTATACCTTACTAACTTGAGAGAATAGCAAAGCAATGAGCACTAAATGTGCACCTACTGCATATCAATGTCTAAATTTTCTTTTTCTATTCATATTTGTATGAAATGTTTTGTTGCGACACCAATGAAGTTAAAATATAATTCATCAAACATTTAAACTGTTCCATAACTCTACTCAAGGTTCTAATGCTGCACATGACGGAGACAAATTGGATTTATTTGTTGAAAATTGTCTGGAATCGAATTTTGCAAAAGATGGAACTCTTGCAACAGATTTATCAAAAATTCAGGTTAGAATGGCTGTGATTTTTTGAAACACTCATAATTATTGTGTTATAGAGTTAGTGGGTCCACATGTAGCTTTCACAAGTCAGTGGTTGATAATTGACACTACCAGTGAATAATATATTTTAGCAGTGCATGTGTGACCTTGCTTACAGCAAACATACATAAAACAATATGAGCTAAACTACCTAAGAAACAAATATTATTACATTTATTTTATATGACTGTCATGTCATGGTGAAGAAACACAGTTCATTAAATCCTTCTCCAAGCATAGTTTAAAGGACATGTTTCAACCAGTATTGAATGAGCTTTATCCATTGCTTGGAGATGTTGCCTCATTTTCTGATTTTGCATGGCTTTCTGAGAATTGGTGCATTTCAACTGTCTTGTCTTTCTCACTTAATTAAAAATATTAAATTTTGTCCAAAAATAATTTTCCATTGTCTTTTTATAATTTATTTTTCACTTTAGGCTGCAAACGGCCTAAAAAACTAAAAAATGATTTTTTCAGTCAATATGGAATCTCAGGGAAAATATTGCTGAAGCTCTCAAATGCAAAGGTTATACATACAAATATGATATATCATTGCCTACAATAAAAATGTACGATATTGTAAATATCATGCGTAAAAGGATGGGAGATGATTGTACAGTATATGGATATGGACATCTTGGTAGGCATATGTTTTTGCTCTTTCTCAATGTTTATTAAATAATGATTAAATATTCCCATTTTTTTTGTTCATACAAGGTTCTGTTAAAATACTATTGGCAGCCCGTTTAACAAAGTTGTCTAGAAATAGTCTGTATATGCATAATGTAGACAACTATTTGAATATGTACAATAAAGTCGTTAAAATAAAATTGACATTTTTGTATTACCTTTCCAGTACTCAAACTCAAAATTCTTATGAGAATTATTATATTAGTGTATGTGAATGTATATTAGCGTCTGTTTTATTCAGCCTCAATATTCTATTCAGAAAACAGAATATTAGTGCAGGATAATATTAATGCATAATTGATTCTGAATCTTTGTTGCTCTCGCCATGATTTTCATACAGGTGATGGAAATCTCCACCTGAATGTTGTTTCTAAGGAATATGATGCCAATATTTTAGCACAGATTGAACCTTTTGTATATGACTATACTGCCAGTTTGAAAGGAAGTATAAGTGCGGAGCATGGCTTGGGGTGAGAATCACTGTAATACTACATATTTTTAATTACCGGTACTTGTTTTATTTAAAGCAAAGTTGATTTGTAGTACTCCATGTGGATGGATGTATTGGCAAAGATAGCCACAACCATCTTGGAACAATGAAAAGTCTACCAATAATTTACTCAAAGCGAGGTCACACACACTTGCTCGCGTAAAGGAACTCATGTCTGAGTTAAGGGTGATAATTGAAATTTTACTTGAACCAAGGTATTGTTTATTAATACTACTATTCCACTATGTAGCTTTTGTGCTATTGGGATTAGAGAAAATTATATGTTAACAAATCGCTGTGGTGTGGCTCAACGGGCTAAGCGTTAGGAATACGCTCGCCACCGCGCCTTTAATTACTCTGCATGGGTTCACAGGTTCCAATCCCATGCAGGGATGGTTATGTGCGAGAGGATTGCTGGACTCCTCGCCGTCGTTGGGTGGTTCACGTAACCGCTGGTCGGTTACGGCTTCCTCCACCACCAAGTCCATGCTTCCGAAAACAATATAACTAATCCCATACCCGACTTGGAATGGTAACCGGACGAGAGGCCGTGGTTCGCCATATGGATAAGCCGTCTTATCGGTTTTCCTCTCCCCCAGGATAAATATGTAAATCCTTAAATGACCCCCTGAGTAAAGCATATTTGAGTTTTGTGGCAGCTACACTAGATTTTTATTGTCAATCAATTACAGTGTGTTGTGTAAAGACTTAATCTTTTAATATTTTCAAATGTCTCTACCTTAAGTGAAAAGATTCTGTGTTACAGTTACAGAGATCTTATTTATTCCAGTGTTTTTTATTTTATTTTGCAGATTCAAGAAAAAGAAATATATAGGTTTGAACAAATCACCCGAGGCAATTTCTATGATGAAAAATATCAAACAATTGCTCGACCCCAAAGGAATTTTAAATCCATACACAACATTACCTTCCTGACCCTTCTAGTTTTAAAATTGAATTTTTAGCGAATCTATACAATAGTTTTAATTCTTTATTTTTATATCCTGCTGTTTCTGCTCAAATACCACCTTTAGGTTTGGTTCATGCCTTATTATTACCTTGAAAAATCAACGAATTCAATTCTGCTTCTTTCTTTATTACATATCATGTAAATTTTGTTCATTTTTTATTATTTTGCACTTTCTGAGCTTAACAAATAAACCATGTGAATGACAGATCATGGTATTCCTTTTCGAAGCCACATTTCTCAGATCAGAATTTTGCATTGATTATGGAAACTGGTATGTTTGGGTAAAATATTTGAAAGGATTCACAAATACAATATATTCGGTGTTTCTGAAATGTCGTCTCCCACACTTGTGGCACTCTTCCACGTGTACCGGTTGTTCCACAATTGTCTGGTGTCGCACTGTCCTACGTCCCCGATTTTTGGGTCGGAGTGCCTGATGACTTCAACGACGACTTTGCAAAGATACGAGTATAGTGTAGAATGTAGATTGTTTTAGACGTGTGTGACATTAAAAATATAAAATGTAGTGTTGATGCCGTGCCATGAACATTTTAGATCGAGTGTATCAGTTTCAAGCGTCCCACACTTGCCGCACATCCATTGTCTCAAGTGTATTACTCGCACCGCTTGTACCATTGATACTTGTGATACGCTTGTACGACTTAAATACAATCTGGCATTTGCACCGCATGTCATTATTCTGAGTTTCTCCCATTAGAATAAACTGTGCGACAAAGCAGTTCGACATGCTTAGCAATGAGTTGGTCTGTATTTAATCTATAACATTAAAAATACTGTTGAAGCAACACCCACACACAGCGTGCTCTTCCAGTCTTCGAAGCAGGTACGGTACGAGTACGATAAGTCAGCAAGTACTGTAGCCCAAGCGAAGGACAAACTCCGAAACGGCGCGCGATAGCGACGATCCCCTCAAACATCAGAAAAACACTTGGTTCGCTCTGACAGATATTCAAGCATGGCTGTAAACATTGCCGTTTTCATTAAACGTTTTCCTAGTTTTGCGTGTTATTTGCCAGTTGTCTTTTCCCTTTAGTTAGATTATGATCTAACGAAAGCTTACAAATATACTTGCTATTTCGGGGAAAGACATTATGCTATTCTTAATTTTTCCTTTTAACCAAAGGGTTGATCAATTGTACGAGACATAGAAATAAGTTATTTAAAACCCATTTTTTATGTGGCAACCCTCTGCAACGGTCATACTTTAAGAAGTATCGAAACACACTTACTTTCGCATTAGAAAAAGCGAAGCAAATTCACTACCAAAATCTTATCTCTCAGAACAAGGGCAATCCAAGGTATACATGGCAAATTATAAACCAACTTACAACCACAAAAAATAACTCAAATAAACAAATAATTCAGGAAATCTGTCTTGAAAATGGCAGTATACTGAAAGACGGTTGCTTAATCGCGGCTGAATTCAATAAGTATTTTTCTACGGTCGGATCTAACTTGGCAGCCAAGTTTTCCAATGATATGTGTGACTTTAGGCCATTTCTTTGTAACCGTGTTAGTAAATCCATTTTCATGACTTTGGCCACTGAATCCGAATTGATGATGGAAATTCTGAATTTGAAGGAAAGAAAGGCAGTTGGCCCGGATAACATCCCACCTCGCTTCCTAAAATTCGTTGCCGAACTGCTCGCGCCTTTTCTCGTGAAATTGTTCAACTGCTCCCTCGCATTTGGAATCTTCCCTTCATCACTCAAAGTCGCTCGAGTGATACCGCTCTTCAAATCTGGTAACAAAAAAATTGTTTCAAACTATAGGCCAATTTCTATCCTCTCTTCAATTAATAAAATATTTGAACGTCTAATTCACATTAGGTTGACCAATTTTTTCACAAAACATAATGTAATAAACAAACACCAATTTGGCTTCCAAAACAATCAGTCCACATCACACGCAATTTTAGATACAATTTCTTATATCTATGACAAATTAGAAAGGAAAGAATTTGTGAGTGCAATTTTTGTCGATCTGAAGAAGGCTTTTGACACTGTCAATCATGATATCCTAATGAACAAGTTGTGGCATTATGGCGTCAGGGGATTACCTAATAAACTCCTCCATAGTTATTTAAGTGATCGAACTCAATACGTTCAAGTAGGAAACTACCGCTCGTGCGTCTTACCTGTGACACACGGGGTCCCACAAGGATCTAATTTGGGACCTTTATTATTTTTGATCTACATCAACGATCTCGCCCATTGTTCATCATTCTTCTCAAAATTATTCGCGGATGACACCAATCTCCTCGATAGCGACAAATCTCTCCCTGCTCTTCATTCAAGAGTGAACTCTGAAATAGTAAAAGTAGCTAATTGGATGAAGGCCAATAAATTATCTATAAACGTCGACAAATCCAAAACTATGCTTATTTCACCAAATAAACATAAAACTCAAACCAAATTTTCGATTGATATTGGCAACACTAGATTAGAAAATGTAAGTTCTTACAAATATTTGGGCATATTTTTGGATAGCCAATTGAAATGGGATATTCACATAATGAACTTGGCTGCTAAACTATCTAGATCGGTTGGAATACTGTACAAACTTAGGCACTTTGTACCTGTAACAACTCTCCGTATGATTTACCATTCTCTATTCCAAACCCACATTCAATATGGCATTATTGCATGGGGTTCAGCCAATAGAACTCTATTACATCAAATCGAGATTATCCAAAATAGAGCCATCCGTGCTCTTTCTGGTAGTGGACGTCGCGAACAACTCAATCCAATCTACCATGAACTTCAAATTATAAAACTGACAGATATTCATAAAATAGAGGTACTGAAACTGATGCATCAACATCATAACAATAAACTCCCTGTCACATTTACTCATTATTTCTATAAGCAAAGTAATATTCATTCACATAGTACACGGTCTTCTACCCATGGTTCTTACTATGTGCATCGTTTCACCTCCAAACTAACACAAAATTCAATAAAATATTTAGGTGTTAAATTATGGAACTCTTTGGCTGATAGTATTCGAAACATGAATTACGATGCATACAAACAAGCATTGAAAAAGGTATACCTAGGCGGCTATATACTTGATCCGTCAGCTTTTCAAATAATATGATTTCCTTTCCTGGCGTATTGTATATATCAGTATATACGTTCATATAGTCTCCGTAACGTACGGCACCCTTCCGGTCTTGATGCCTCGCCCTGTTACCGGTACTGTGATGGGATATTGTTCCGTACAAATTCCGAGTTACTTGAATTCTTGCTGTTACCATATTCAGTTATTTTTTGTGTGATCCTACTCCACTAATAAAATGGTCCTTACGTTTCGTATCCAATATGCCTCAGTAGGCTACAACAACCAGCTTTTGATCGCTGCTAGCAACGAGCTTCATTCATTTCTTGTTACGGTCCATGAACGCACAGTTGAACCCCACGAGGGCGCTGTCGCGTGTATTATTACTCTGGTGGTATTTTGTGATTTTGTTTCTCTGTCAATTATGATTGATTAAATTTGTATAATTTTTTTTTGTCATTCCCTCTAAATCTCCAGCCCACAGGTGTCGCTGACTCGATGACTGTCACAGTCTTTCGCGACTCCTTATCTATTGCTATGAATCTCTCACTTGTATGAATTCTGATGTGTATATTTAATTTTTTACGATTGTCATTATACACGTTTGTCAATTTTTCGTGCTTTAAATTTTGTGTTAATTCTTGCATGATAGAAATAAATTATCTGAATCTGAATCTGAATCTGAATCCTTCTTGTTTGACCTCCAATTTATTCATTCTCATGTATAACAACATCTATAATTTGTTTACCCCCCGAATTATTCGTGAAGTTAGATATCAGGGGCATCATTATCTGAAACTCGTTCCAGGTAGCATAAAAGTTTGGCACTTCCCTGGTTCCCACCCAGTCTTATTATTGCCCGTTTGTATGACAAGCGTGCTAAACCTTGACGACGCGCCAAATGTTTATCCTAACATTCATTCGGAACCAGTGATCCAAGCATAAAATATCACTTACCAATAAAGTTTATGGATCGCTTATAGTCAATAGAACGAATTTGTTGATTGTAACTACCTTATGTCTCTCACGGAATAGTGTTCGAACAACGCGCCTTATAAGTTTACAACTAATCGAACTCGCCTGAAGTATACTTTGCCTGGGAAAAAGGCTATGTTTCTCTGCCAAGTAATTACAGACAAGTAATCTATTTCATTTTATGCAATTGTTTGCAATGCGCGTAAGTTGGCGGTTATATGAAATCGAAGCTCATGCAATATAAAAATCTTAGCAATGTTATCACGTCTTATCTGCTCTGGCAGACTGGGCGGTGTTTAAATGTACTAAATGCACAATCAGCGTTTATACCTCATCGCGACTGAAAAAACGAGATATCGATATGCATGTTAAACTTCATTCCAGAAAGCATTTGGTGTTATAATTTTAACGACAATAAGAAATACTGAAATTGCTTTACAAAAAATGTAAATCACATTTTATACGAATACAAATAAATTTAATTTTGTCAATTCGAAAAAACAGTTTGTTTTTCTTGTGCACGTAATCATCTTCGTCACGTAGCGATATGATGCTTGAAACGAGAAGTATAATGTCTCGATGGTGATCTCAGAATCTTTCTCAAAACCCATGCAAGCAAATTCAGTGGAATTGGGGAAAATAACAGGCAAGAAATACTGTCTTTTATAATTTCGTAGTGCTTTGCTTTGGTTCGAGAGGAATCTTTTCGGGCCATTTTTGTACGAAAAAGAATTGGGGAATATATTCTTTTGATATCTTTCTTGTCCGTGAAAAGACTGATCGAGTTACTGAGATTTGATGAACATTTTCTTGGATAGGCAAGATCTTCACATCGATCAACATCAACAGATGTTTCTTTAATTTGGCTACCGCAACTGCCACCAAATTCAACGTTCATTATGTTAAAATCTTCGCAGCCTCCTGCTGGAAGGCCATTTGAATTATTCGCAAAAGCCGAAGAAGTAATTTCATTATCCAAACTTATCGCATAAATGCATTGCCTGTAAGTGATATTACTAGAAGTTTTTCGAATACCCGTGATTGCAGTAAAAGCTTGATGTTTCTTTGTGAAGTTTAAAATATTATTCAACTTCTCCACAGAACAGCTCTCGGCAACTCCCTGATTCTGCTTTTCAGGTACCATCGGTAACCCAGTAAACGTTCCATTTATAAAATTCAGATTGAAAATCTTATGATTCAAAGTTGATTTGTTCCGGCAAATGCCGTTGTCATGTTCCGATTCGTGTTGCGACAGCGTGTGAGCGCTTGGAAGAGTGAATTTTATTCTTGTATTCGTCACATTCCATATTTCATTTGCCTCCTCATCGATGATAATGGATGCGTTGCGGTAGAGGCATTCAGGAACAGATAAATATCCAATAAACGATACCTGTATCGCCATCAAAATTATCTGAGTGGAAATCTCGCGGACAAAAAGCATCCCGCAATACACTATTTTATTTGAGAAGGAATTATTCGGTCGTTCTATGATACCTGGGAAAAAATAAGCAACAAAAATTCAAAGCAGCTCAACATTGCCAAAGTTACCAACAATCCACCAAGGCAGGTTTGAATCATAGGTTTGGCAACTTGTCTTCCCAATTTATAATTCTTTACTAACCAGTCCTTCATCTTTGAGTTGTAGTCTATCGCCTAAGCTTATGAAAATGCTTTACCCTATGTTTATTTTAACTAAACCCGTATTTGGGTCAGGCCTAATTGCATTTTTTTAGCCAATTCGAAATTTTGATTTTTGATGTTATTGTGATGTAAGAATGATGCCAATTAAGGACAACAAATCGAATATATCCTAGGACAGGGGTGGGCAACCTTTTTCGGCTCGCGTGCTGAAATCGGGTAAATTTAAACGCAAAATTCTTCCGCGTGCCGACCAAAATTAAAAACAATGCTTTGCTACTTTTAAAGTAAAAATACACAATAACAATCTTTTTAAACATGTACAAACAGGTGCACTATTCCGAAAAAATATCAGTCCGACACGTTGATTTGATTACTTCTCTATATCTTATTCTATATCAGTGAGACTTCTGCTGCTGCATTACCGATGATAGAGATTTTACATTGGATTTATATTTTGTAACTTTCAAAGAAATACACGAACTACTTGTTTTATCTTTCAGGCTACTGCTGTTAGGAGACTTAATAAAGTTCATAACTGAGAACAGAGATTCACAAGCATATGTAGAAAAAAAACATGGAGAGTAATGCAGTTGCAAAGTTTTTTACGAAGTATATTACGTAACAATGTAGTCAAATGAATGTGTGTTCTTCTCGACAAAATTCGTCGCGAGCTCACTCAGTTATTACGTCATATTATATTTCTTTGTAGCCATATGTCATGAAAAGAAAAAAGAGTTTAAATGAATGACGGATTGTTAACAAACGATAATGATTAAACGAACATCGAGTTTCATCAGATAATTCAGAGTCTCGAAACTTTTTATCTGAAAAAGAATGATCTCGTTTCTGAGGCCTCGCTCGTGTGCCGAATAAATGGGCTCGCGTGCCGGGGGTTGCCCCTGTCCTAGGACAAAATACAAAAATATTTTTATATTATCCACTGGAATGCCGGAAGCGCGAGAAAGATTTTAAATAGGCGCCAATCAAAAACAAGTAACACATTGCGTTAATAAGTTAGATAATTCTATTATTTCTATCGAAGAATTTTATGCCTCGAACTATAAATAATTTTGTACTCAAATATAAAGGTTGAAGCGATGTTGCGAATGCTCCAAGTCTTATTATTTCATTTATTGTTTTTTGTAAAAGTTGTAATTTAATAAAAGACACACTTCGACATTCAATTTGTCGGGTGATAGTAGTTATGTTTCGCTAATAGCTGTTGACGTGCATCTCATAAAAATAAAATCACAACAGGTATAAAAGCTAGTCTCTATGATGCATCACATCTAATAGAAGGTCGCTTTGAAATAGTATTATCAAATTGTCATGGGTGAATACTTTGAATTGGTGGTAATTTAGTATGTTATCGGCGAAATCGTTTGTAGAGCATTCATCAAGACCAGAGGTTAAAGAGTGCTAACGAAGCGATAAATAGTTTGGATTTCGTGAGATCTCGTGCAATGGACAAAAACGTTAAATTCATTTTAATTTGCTAGTATTTAGGCCTATTAATTGCTTCAAAAGTTAAGTGTGAACGCGCGGTTCATAAAATTCAATAGTACATACTTGCTACGATCAATTTGTTTCGAAAATGGGCACATGCTAATCTAATTAAATCTAAAACGATGTCGACGCCCACCTTTTTGCTTGAACTTCCATGAATGCCTAACTCTCCTAGTTCTTTTTAAAAACCAATTTTTATTAATAATATGGCAAGAATAGTCACAATATATATATGCAAGACGCAACTATTCGAATGTTCATTTTGGTCACGGACTTCGTGAAAGACATTCGCAAAAGAAACAAAATGTTTGGTTTAGTGACTCTGTCCATTGTTTTTATGATTTCGAAGGTAAGGTAATATTATTATATGATTTCAATTTTTCTAAACGCAATGTAAATGATTCAAAATATATTACCGTATATACTAATATACTTTGTATATATATAATTGTTTCAATATTGTAGTAATTTAATTTTCCATCGGTGCACAACGTTTATTCAACGTTTAAACCATATATCAGACTATGACTTTATTAATATATACATATAATATATTTTAGACAACAGCCAAGTATCAAGGGGTGAGTATTACTCATTATCATTCAGGCAGATACTTTCTGTAATAGCTAGAAGAAAAAAAAACACACATAGAACAAACGTAAAAACCCGTCGTGTTGGCTTGGTACTGAAAAAATTCAGTAACTTATTGAGTTACAATATGTATAGTCTACTTACTACGGTGCAAAATTTTATATGATAAGAAACGTTTATATTGGTAAGGATGTTCATCAAATACTAATAACGCAACTTTTATATTTCAGGTGTCACTTCAAGACGACCTCCCCCAGGTACGTACAAATTGTTTTGATTCACCCAAACAATTAGATAGATGAATGATATATTTGTGATTGGTGATTGAATAGTGTGTAAGAGCATACATGCACGGAAGTTACTCGTTAAATTAATATCATTGAATGAGGGTAAAACTTACAAATTTTATTGCGCAAACATTCGTTAACACAGCGTATGCCTACATCCGAGTAATAATACATAAGGTTGTTTGTGGGGCTCAAAATACAAAGCACATTGGTAAAAAGATAATTTGGTCAAATGTGCAACACTTTTTAATTTCGGAAGCAAATATGTTACCTCTATCACTTTATTTACAATATATTTACATTTCAGGTGCTGGAAGATCCTTATTTGGTACGTACCACAAATTTGTGAACGATATAGTAGAAGTGTAACTTCACAAAGTAAATTCAATATTTATATAAAAACACTGTCAAATTTTTTGGTATATATTATGTGATCATAGAATTAGATAAAAAATATTGCAAAGATTTGCAAAGATAAACGCTACACGTATAATATCTAAACTGAATATGCTTTATGTTAGAATCGACGGTAGAAATCACTATATATATTTTTATTCGAGTAAATTATGCTTTGTTGGTGTTACACACCACGATAATGTTGGGTTGGTAGAACAAAAGAAGGTCTTGCTTTTCTATTAGTTTATTACCAAAAGTGAAACTGAACAATGTGAAAAGCTAATTTGGCCAATTTTGTACAGAAACAAGTTCATATCATTGCATAATGATGAGCGCTTGACGAATTTTACGGAAGCAGGCCGACTATCGTCCCAAAGAGAACAAAGCACGACTTGCCCACTGTGTTAGGCAATTCAGGGTCACTGTGTGAGGCTTCTAGTGCCAGGCAAATTTGGAGATCTCTGTACTTCACACGGTCTTTCGCGTAACCCATGACATAGGCTTTCTTTGTAACGACCATATTAGGCGTGTGGAATAGAGAAATAATTATCTGCCTTGAGTAAATCAGCCATGCGATTAATATATGAAATAGTCAATAGACTTTTGCTACGCTTTTCGGTTGAGATTTATTTAAATCTAACTTATATATTAGTTTTAGAAAAAAGTATGGGTAGTACGTAGTACGAAAATTCAATATTAAAAAGGTCGCATAAAAAGATTGAAATTAAAAAAAATAAATTTTTATATAAATATTTGCCCCCAAATCTGAAGCTTAAATGTGGCGTTTTACATTATCTTTCTGGACTATGATCTGTATAAACAGCCAATAATACATTTAAGTTCGAAGAAATACCATTACAAAGTAACAAACCATGCTCTCGAGTGAAGGACTATTGAAACGGCTTCGGTATCATATTTGTAAGAGTTAAAATTCTGCCAAACATGCATGAATGTGATTCATAGAATAAACATATCCAAACATTCACGTAATTTAGGGTTATAATTTTATTTCCAGTATAATGTGGTTTCACCAAGGAGTATAGTATTCAGAACAATCCAATGTGATGTTTTATTAAATAATTTTGGACATATTATGCTGCTGTATTGTAAAATGCGATTACTTGATGCTCATGCCCTTGACATGTCATCATTAGCAAATTAGGTATGGGAAAAAAATTACGAAAATCATAATAGATATATATTTAATCTTTCTAATAACTTATCGCCAAATAATATGCGGAAAATTGACGAAGATAGCGTTGACTCAGTTATTCAAATATATTATATATATATATATATATTTTATTTTTCAGGATCATTCACAATATCCTTTTCTACTTAGTATAATACTAATTTTCAGTGATTTGGTCATAGTAGGGAATAACGTTACGCGGGATTTCTGTTTGAATGATTTTAATGTCGGACGTAAAAATGAAGTCAGTAAAATATTGCTTTCAAAAGATTTTTTCCGTCTCGTAATTTATTTTTGCAAATTGGGCCGGAGCAATAATAATCAGGTGGTAATAATCAGGTGGCGTGGAATTTCTGTTCAAGCCACTTTTAATACCAAACGTAAAAAATGAAGGTATAGTAAAATGTCGTTTCGGAGATTTTTTTCTGGTCATTTCATAACTCTTCTGCAAAATAGGGCGGGGGCAAAAAAAAATCAGATGACATCATCGGGGTGTCGGTAGCCTCAACCTAACATAAAAATGAGGCAAACTAGAATAACATTGTATCGAATATTTATATTGACATGTTTTATATTCCAGGATCTGGATTATGTTCCTCCGGTATGTATAATACTGTATTACCAATGTGGAGAAGTTAGTTATATCGATATTTTCCGAATGTTATTTGATAAATAATTATGCGAAAACTGATATCTAGACCTGACAAGAGCAAACTACGATCCGCGGGCCAAATCCGGCCCGTTGGGTAATTCAATCTGGCCCGCCTGATGCCGCCACAACCAAACTAAAACCAAATTTTGATGTTTTAGTTAAAAATAACTCAAGGAATTTGTTGAAATTGCGACTAAATTTAGTTTCGGCACGAGGCTTCTTGTTTGCCATATTTTACTTTTGTAACACTGTAAATATTGTTCATAAAATGTAACTTTCACGTCACACTTACATGACCCGCCAGTATAGATGGGCAAATTTCCTGACCCCTGCTTCAAAAACCTTGCCCACCCCTCCTGACTGTTCTAGACGAATGAGACAACAGCAGCTACGCTGCACTGTGTTGGCGCTCGAGGGCTGGTAAACGTCATAATTAACTTTATTTATTTCGCGACTTCTCACAATATACAGAAGATTATATAAAGACAGATTTTCAAACTTTCGTAATCGTTTATATGGTAAAAATGATCAACAATTCGCAAATTATATTTAAATAATCTTGATTTTAGAAAAATTAACAGTGTTTGCTGTATATATTTATATTTCAGGTTCAAGATAATTATCTTGCGGTGAGCATAAAACTCTTTAATCATAAAATATAAGTGTTGTGTCATTAGTGAGCATTTCACCATTCATGAGTCTAAAAATGTCTCATGACTTAACATTATGAAACTATGATGTCACATTTTGTTTATTTACTTTTCCCCTTTTCATAATATTGTTTACCGCTCAATCGTGAATAGGCCGCAAGAAATATTTACAGACGATAATTCAATACACTTTCATACATACCAGAATATTCTTCATGAATTAAGTTAATACCCAAAGAAGCACAGTATATACATGATATAGTGATGTTTTGTATAGGAAGAAATCGCTATAGACAATCATTATGTGGGTATTGTGATGACATTTTCGCGCCACACATGTATATTAAGTAACTTTATTATTTTCCAGCGTAACTTGTTTTTGTGCAAATAATAACCTTATCAAAAAAAAAAACGCACGATACGTGGATGTTAACATATAATCACAGCGCATGTTGAATAATATATAATTTCTTTAGAGAAACTTTATTCTATCCGGGGCAGAATACTACTATGAGTCCAGAAACGTAGAGTACGACGTGATAAAAACTGCAATTGATGAATCAGATCGATGCTTGGAAGTACTGCAAAACGATGACATCTATGTTAGCAAGGGCGTTTTCGAAAGTCTCGTGTATTGGGATAATTTTGGAGAATTCATTGAGTGGCAGTATGTAAAAGCAATGGTTATAAATGGAACATGGGATATTGAAAGAGGTATGATCATAAAATTCATATGATACATTGAAAACTCAGCAGTAGATGTGATAGGCAAATCGATCGTCGTTTGCTTTCGTATCATTTTCTGATAAACACAAGGGTATGGTCGCAAATATATATATAATTCGGAAAATAATATATATATATATATATATATAAGTTAACTGATCTGTTTTGCAGTTACAGAAAAAAAATTGTCTTCACACAACCTAATGGTGCCGTTCATTGGCATATTGACGGGAACTGCTAACGATCCTAAATTATCATTTTATAGATCCATAGGCTCCTAAGTTAACAGATATGATTCTTATTTTCAGATGAAGTCCCATTGTGTATGTTTGTTCCCATCAGATACAGATATTTTTGCGAGGGTAAGTAAAATAATGGTATGCACTCCAGAATTTACTATTTAATTTTCACTCCCCAACGAATGGTAGATATTGTAAATTCGCACACTCTGACTAAACATCTTTCAACAGATAATTGGTTCAGCTGGGATTTTGATAAAATTCCATCTCAAAGACAGACAAATGCAGTTCTTGACATCATTTACGACGTTTGCTTTGATTCTTACGACAGTCAAAATGCTTTAGATTCATTGGATGAACAGTTGAATGATAGTACGTATATAGCAATAAAAATAACACCTAACAGTATCGCGCAGGTATTATCTATATTCTATGTCACATTAGAAAAAAATTACCATTTTGTGGGTTGCTACATCATTTACCATTGTATTAATCTTGTAATTTGACGGCTTTTTATTGCAAATTCAAGGCAATGGTGCCTTGATAATATTTTTTTTAAATAATCTGTCACGACACTGGTGTTGTGGTAGAGCTTTGTAATATAGAATAAGTTCTAATTTCCAAATCAGCAAAAGGGCGCAAATGTGTTGCACACAATGTCGATGTTCATCATATTTTTTGCCTTAATTACAACGCGATGTTACACATATCATTTCAGTGGGGAAAAACTTCGATTTTGGTGAAATTTACAATTTTTTCGAGCTTTTGATCATAGAAGCATACGACGAAAATATTGAATCCAAACGCGGTAAGTTAATTTTCATTTTTCACAAATTTATCAACAAAAAGTTCTATATTACAAATGAAAGATGTGATCAGTGGCTGAAATTTGACTTTTGTACAGTATAGTTAGTTGTCTTGCACCCTACTGCCAAATAGGACAACTCTAATTTAGGCATTATTTTTTAAACAGAAAACACAAATCAAGAGTATTTCCAGTGGATGTGCATTGATCCAGCCATATCGAAAGGCTTCGGCGAGAGAAAAGTCTCTGATAACATAAGAAGTTTTGCCGTCGATAAAGGTAATGAATATATGAGTTAGAAATTAGCAACGGTGAAGTTAGCATTGGGAGTTTTTTCAGAATCACATATATATAGCTCAAAAGTTTGAGAATGTTCCCACCAGTTATTCTGATCAAGTTGCTCTTCTTTCTTTCAGTATTCAAAAACAAAGCAGGCGAATTACAAAATAATTTAGTTAAATTATGATAATTTATATTTCACATTGATTAACAGGTGCAAAAGAATGTGCTAAGCCCGAGTTTATTCTTTACAACACGTTCTCACAGTCTGGTAGTGCGCCACAGCGGACAAGACCCCCGCAAAATGCACCAGTACGCAGGAGATCGAGCAGAACTGCACCTGGGACTTAAATAATATATACGCAGTTTATTTAATATTTGCAATCAAGTGTCACTGACTTCCAAGTGAATGATCTTAATTGGGAATGAATTTTGAGTTAATTGTATGAAACATTAAATATAAGTAGTATAGTGAGTAGTAAAAATAAAAAACATTTGTAATGTGTTCCACAAAGTTCCTTGATTACTCATTTTTATTTGGGAAAATCTATTAGTGAAAGTCGATAGAGCTCTAGAAAGTTCTAGGCAGGAGGGAACTAACAGAAAGTCTATCATTAAGGAATTTAATATAACGCAAATATAGAAAGGCGGCTACAACTAATAATAATTCAATATAATCAATGAATCGTTAGAAATGCTGAAAAATGTAGATATTATCAAAAATGACCAATATTTAGGTATCAATAAATAATGATAAAATGATAGGCAACATTTGATATGTATAAAAAGATTATCATAGCATTTTAGGGTATTTAAAGTATCAGTGGCGGCGCGTCAATAGGGCCAACCGGGGCAATGCCCCGGTTGTTTTTTCGGTATAATAAAAAATATTCGAAAAATACCTCAATATCGGTTGCACAGACTGTCTACACTAGCCACTACACTACACTAGCCCGACATGGTTCATTTTTCGCTCGCAAAGCCTTCGCCGAACGTCGACGGGGCGACGCCGATTTTGCCCCGGTTGCTCATATCGTATTCTCTCTTTTATCTTCCACTCGCCGCGTTTGTCTCGTTTGTTTTATGTTTCTTTTACTAAATCATCGGGGACGATCGGGACTAGCCCCGAAATTATAACGACACAATGCCGACGTTTCTTACAACAACGTGTTGACATATTCACGCATTCCTTCTCGTTCGTTGGTTGCTTGAAGAGTTGATAGTTTCCTCACCTTCGTTTTTGTCGCTTGTTTCGCTATTTGAATCAGTTAGAGACCTTTAGTCCATTTGCTTTCGATTATCCACATTCCTTTTGAGCTCCTCACTTCTTTCCGGCTTCGCATTTCTTAGCCTTAGACCTCATAATGAATAAGGTTGATGCACTACTTCGCACTCCGTTTTCGCAGCTGCCGCTGGAACAAAAATTAGAGGTACAACGTCTTGGGTCTTATCAACCAAAAAATTGTTCACTGGAACAATCCCATGACGGAGGAAAGCGTCGGCGTACATTCTGCGCAGAAACTTGGTATAAAAAACACGAATGGTTGTGTTACAGCGAGGACAATAATGCACTTTTTTGTTTTTATTGCCTACTTTTTGCTACCGCCCATGACTCACGTTGGTGTAAATTTGGTTTTAGAGATCTTAAACATCTTTCCGAGCGTGCCAGGGATCATCAATCTTCTATGGAGCAACTGGACAATGCAGTAAAATACCGAACATTCGGAAATGTTAATATTGCAGCACAGTTGGATGAAGGACGCGCGGTTTCTATTCGTCGGCACAACCAAAACGTCGAGAAAAACCGCCATGTTCTCGGTCGATTGATAGATGTTTTGAAGTTCATTGGTTGTCACGAGCTGTCCCTCCGTGGGCACGATGAACGGACTGGCTCTTCTAATAGAGGGGTATTTTTGGATATGGTGGAATAAACCGCATCCCTAGATACAGTATTGAGAGATCATCTTGATGCCGCAACTGTTTCGAAAGGGACATCTAAGGATATCCAAAATGATTTGCTCGACTCAATGTATAAAATTTATTTACAACATTTGGCTCTGGAAATTGGGAATTGCCAGTTCCTTTCGATTCAGTCTGACGAGACAACTGACATCACGTGCGTTTCCCAACTGGCTGTGATTTTTCGGTTTGTGAAAGATGGTAAACCTACCGAGATATTTCACAGCTTTGTACCAATCGTTGATCGCACGGATTGCGGGATATCGGCTGTACTGAAAGAAGTGTTACAGCCTTACAACGCGAAGTCAAAATTGATAGCTCAAACTTATGACGGCGCGGCAGTCATGAGTGGGTCGAAACATGGTGTTCAAGTTTATATAAAAGAATATTTTCCTCATGCGCATTTTTTACATTGTTATGCACACCAATTTAACCTCGTTATTAAAAATATGTGTCTTGATACCCCCCTCGTCCGTATATTTTTTGCAAATGTTTCGGGGTTTTCTTCATTTTTTTCCGTTTCGCCGAAGCGCTCTGACCTCCTTCGCCAGATATGTAGCCGCCGTCTCCCAGCTTGTGCGTTGGAACGTTGGAACTTCCAATCACGCGTGGTGCAGGGCGTGTCCGAAATTAGATCTGAGCTCATTGAGTGTTTCAATGGCATTCAGAGCTCTCCGGTTTGGGACGAACGCTCTGTGAGGGAGGCGGCAGGTCTAAAGCGTCTGCTAGAAGATGGTGAGTTTTCATTTTTTCTCCACAATATTCTATCACGTGGATGTATTATACGGCGCATTGCAGTCAAGGCTAATGGATGGAGCGTCTGTGCAGTCGTGTATTTCAGACTTCTGCGATGCTGTATCTCGTATCCGGGAAACAATAAAATACGACGACACATGGAGTGCTTCTTTACGCCGCGGGCAAACAACGCAGCGTTTGATTTTGTCTGCAAAGGAATGCTGTGACATTCTGGTGAATCAAATAGGCGATTGTCTGAGCACTGAACACCTTGCCGCGTTCTCTTTGATGAACCCCAAAAATTTGCACGTCAATTTCCCATCCATTTGTTGGCTACTGTCTCCAAATTTTACCCCATGATAAACGTGGGTAAATTGGAAAATGAATTGCGATGTATATACACCAATCAAACTTTTTTGAACATCACATCAACTTGCGCGCTCTATGGGTTCCTCATAGATAACACTCTAAAACTACCTTTGCGGCGTCTGCAAAATTTCTGGACATCATTTTGACGACACCTATTTCTTCCGCCGACGCATAGCGAACATTCAGCACGCTGAAGCGTATTAAAACGTATCTCAAACTATTTTTGAACATCACATCAACTTGCGCGCTCTATGGGTTCCTCATAGATAACACTCTAAAACTACCTTTGCGGCGTCTGCAAAATTTCTGGACATCATTTTGACGACACCTATTTCTTCCGCCGACGCATAGCGAACATTCAGCACGCTGAAGCGTATTAAAACGTATCTCAGAAACACAATGAAGCAAGATAGATTAAATTACTTGGCTGTTTTATCCATTCACAGAGACGTTATTTCTGGGATGCATGACTTTAATCAGCGCGTTATTGAGCATTTTGCTTCCAAGAAACCGCGGCGTGTTGCATATATGTTCAAGCAGTAGAAGTCTAGCAGCATATATATCTATGAGTGAGCGACGCATGTCCTTATCTTTGCATTAACTTTCCTTTCTTCATAGTAACGTTTTAAACCTTATGTTAGGTTTTGTCTGCTTTCCCGAAGTTTCTGTTAATATGTCATTGTATTTATCTGGGTAAATATTGCCTTTCCTTTTGAAAGAGGTTTCAAAATAAACTATGTCTATATTTATTAATCCCTTGACTTGGACCGGTTTTAAAGACACTTTCTTATCGTTAATAATTGTCGCTTTTGCCGATTGGTTGTTACCGATGGAATGGTTTTTATACTCATAAAATGATGGGAGAACTTACAGCGCTCATCCTGTCCCCGTAGATGGGGGTGACTTGGTCCCGCAGTAGCTTGCCCCGGTTGTCAAAATGACCACGCGCCGCCACTGTAAAGTATCTATATCGTGCATCTGTGTGATTACGGCACAGCATAATACATACTTGTGCAGTATTCCGCAAATTGTCGGTCGCCTTAAATCCTATTTGGTCGTTTGTTTTTACAATAAAAACATGAAATTTATTGAATTTATTTTCTAGTAAATATTATTGTTTATTATGTATTTATTATTAACGCTCCGATTTCAGGAACTGGCTGATAGCAAACAAGCGCAGATTAGTCATTAATGCAACTTTGAGGTGATTTTTGGTGAAAAAATGACTGTACAGTTATTTAATTTTACGATCATAAAAGCAATACATGCCGTTTAATATTTGGCATATTATAGTGTCAAGCAATTTAACAAAATTTATTTTTCTAAATATTAGGGACGCTTGAAAAAAAAAGTTTTTCGGCCGTTGATTGATCTAGATAGAAATTCTAGGCTCTAGAGCAGGGGTGAGCAAGGTTTTTAGACCAGGGGCCAAAAATTTTGCCCAGCTAGACTGGCGGGCCACGTAAGTCTCGTGCCAAAACTAAATTTAATTGCAAAATTCGGTTTTAGTTGGTTGTGGCAGCATCAGATTGAGTTACCCAACTGGCCTGATTTAGTTCACGTGCCGTATTTTGCCCATATCAGATCTAGAAGTTGTTTAGCCTGTTTTCACCATTTTTTTCAAATGCAATTTTGCGGAATTTGCAATGAGACATAAATTCATACGCCTTTTCCAACACCATTTTACTCTATTTTTGAACGATTTACTGAAAACCAACCGAGATAGATGAAAATGCGCAAGAAAAGATATTGTTAGATACCAGTGGCTGCTTTTATCTAGCTTTTAGGCCGTGAGACGAGGCCCTAAAAAAGCCTGCCCTAGAAAGTGAGTTTTGTAATGAGTTTTAGTTTTGTATTAAAATGAACATACTGAACGCATTACAGCTTGTTCACACTAACGAAAGTTGCGCATTTTCTGTATAACATGCTTCAAAAATCCTGATGCAAAAATTGGATTTGAGGGAATTCCCCGAAAATCAATAACCATAGGTTTACAACAACACAGTATGAAAAGTTGCATTCATTTTATAGAATCCATCAAACGCATCAATTTTATGCGATGAAGTCACAAATTAGCATCGTGAGCACAAAAACACAGGACTCGGCTAAAATCCTGATGCAAAATTGCATATAAGGGGATTCCCAAAAAATCAATACCCATTGGTTTACGACAACACAGCATAAGAACTATGCAATTCAAGAGTCTTGCTGCGCACCAACACAAATTTATTACTGAAACGTTTCGTCTGACTAAAATCAGACTTCCACAGACAATCAGTTTGCATGGGTACAGACAGGTACGATCAGACGGTACCGGTATCGCAAGAGTATCTGGACAACTGAGCAGCATTCCCCAATTCAATTACCTTCTATACGTAAAAACAAATTTCCCGAATTTCCGTACTCAATTCTATATTCTCTTATCATTATTGGACACGTTAG